GTTACATCATGATATGTCGAAAACAAGCTTTTGGTGTCTTCGGAGAGAGCTTTACAAAATGTGATGAATTATATTGTCGTTAGGGTCTGAAGATAACAAGTTTGAAAAGGAAAAAGTCAACTGGGAGATATACAAAGATGGGAACTTAGCAGACCTCTGTAAGCCGCTCCTCATCTCTGCTTGAGGCTAGCAGCTCGATGCTAATAGCTGCTACTAGCATAACACCGAATCTCCAACCGAACCGTGACAAACTGTCAACGGTTGAGGTGCATTATGCGTAAAGTAGGCAGCAGATTTTGATGGAGAAGAAGAATGGAATATAAAACAGTCAAAGCGATATATCTGGTTCAGCTGCATCGACCCATTGTGGGTCTGACAATGTTACAGGAGTGCAATGCTAAGTACTCTTTTAAAGGCCTGAGGTCTTAGTTGACTTGACTTAAAACAGGTGTTTTCTTAACCTATATCATTACTTTCTTTTAATTGATAGACATTGTGAGTTAGAAAGAGTAAATTATGGTCGGATTTCCTTTTAGTACTATGTGGGTTTTTTGGCTGCAGGTTCTGGCTCCTATTGTAACTACAGTGTGTATCATGGGCAGATGGAAATCGAATCGGATAAAAGTTAACACCATCGTCATCAAAGTAACCACAGACCTACGATGAGGAATCTCTGATGTAGTCAATGTTAATACAATATGAAGAACTCTCCGCTAAGCATTTTATTCCTGAGTTACTTTGTTATTACAATCCACTGATCTTCACGTGCAGTTCTCAGAGCCAGATGATGAACGAGCATCGACCTGGTTATGTTGCATATATTGTGGTTTCACTCTGTCACCATTATAGAAGAGGTAAATCCTGCTTTATTATGGTCCTAGTTTGTTTATTAAGACCCTTACTTCCAAAAAATAGTTTTATAATTATCAAATAATCTCAATTAACATGACAGGAAAACAATACAAATCTTGACGATGCAGGCAACACAACTCTTACACACAGACAGTATCACGATATTACTTTTAATTCAAATTAAAAACATAGTTTTCACTTGTATGTATTCCCTTATAACCCAAACTGTTTCACTGAGGCAGTAGGCACTAAGACAGTAGAGCACTGTGGTTAAACTGCTCTGCTCCCAGAGGTTCATGTGTTTAAACTGGGAATGTGACGCAGAATGTTACTTACTCCTGAATCTACAAATCCTCACCACCTTTGTGGCCCAAAATGATCTCAAACTCGTGAAGTGGCATTAAAAAAACAACAGACTGCTCTTCTTGTAAAATTATAATATAATTTCAAGCACATGTCTTGCAAGACAGGAAACCAAGACAGATAACCTCATTAAAGTTGTACAGTGTATGTAGATAGATGCGTTAATCAATGTCCTTCTGCATGACAGGCCCATCCATCAGCAGCAGTGGTGATGTCATGTGGAAGAGGAGGGGGCTGGAGGAGTGGACTAAAAGATGGGGGAAGGAGGTTCTCATTAAAGTGAAAGCCTTACCGGATATGTCATGGTCTCCGCTCAATAAAACAGTAATGCAAGGGCACATTAAAGACACACAGCATGCTCTAACACACACACACACACACACACACACACACACACACACATCAGGAGGAATGGTTCAGTAACACTCACAAACAAATACTCCCTCTTCTTCATACTTGCCGTCTTGAGGAAAACACTTGCTGTCCTCGTCTTGAGGAAAATGGGAATCCACTCTCAGACTGTTTAAAAATTCTGCTGACCACCTTAAAATACAAACCAGTGTGTATTTGGGAGCAAAAGATCACAATTCGACTTAAATGTGAGGAGATGGTGGACACCCGGCTGTTAATAATAATAATTATAATAATAATAATAATAATAAGTAATAGCTGAAGGTAAAACTGTGATAATCTCTAACTTTTGGGCACAAGAGATATCACTACATCAGCTCCAAGTACCCAGATGGATAGTACGTATCTGTGTGAAAACATTCCCACAGGACCTCCACTTGATACATGGACTGCATATTTTTCTTTAAATGCAACTGTGAAACGGTGCGAAGTGCGCGTTTGTCAGACAGAGACAGGGTGAGTTGAAGAATGTGGCCCCCGAGGGTTGATGTCTGGCGTGGGCACAGAGCGAAGACACAGACACCCAGACACAGCAGGGGGGTTGACACATTCATACTTTGGTTTCAAGTAGTAAATTAATGGTTCTGCTCCAAAACAAGATGGATAAAAAAGGACGGCTATCTTTGCATAATGATTGACTAAATTTGACGTGATGCAAAACAGGCTTTTAGTAAAAAAGCAACAACTGCAATGTAAAGTGTGAACCTGCTGTTTTTCTTATTCTTCTCTAATATTGATAGTAAACACATTTGGAATGGGCTATAATTGAATTCAATTTACAAAAGGCAACTGTCGCAGTGAATGTGAGACTTCTGGGGCCCCTGGAGGTCTGAGGCCCAGGAGCAGCTAATCCAGGCTCGGATCGTCTGAGCCATTTTCCAGCAAACTCTTTGAGTTACACTTTCACAGACACCTGTCCTTGATACTGAAATTAGCCAGTCTATTAAATAAGAGTGCTAAAAGACGAGAGCTCAAGCAACTGGAGCCTTCGGCAGGTGAAGTCAGAAGCTCAACATAAACAACTCCAACATGACAAAAAGGGGATTTTCCAGCACATTACAAAGCAATGACGAACCCCCTCCTGATCAACACCAGGTCTTCAGATCTGTCATCAGCTCAAAACAAGAGGGATCAGTCTCTCTCTCACACACACACACACACACACACACACACACACACACACACACACACACACACACACACACACACTAAACATGCTGTTGGAGCACTACTGTATAAATGACAGCATTCCTGCAGCCTCGACTGTAGTTAAAAGTGCCAGATCCCGCCTGGTGAACACACAGAATAACAGACTTAGCAGGTGTGGACTGCCAGCTATGACAGGTACACACATGCATGTTGGCTCCTTGTTGCAAACCGAAACACCTCGTAATAACAGATGCTGGCCCCGAAGTTTGGCTTCCAACACCGCCCGAGGAATGAGGCTGTATTTGGGTATGAAAACAAGAAAATACTTAACAAATGAAAGCTTTGAAATGCGAGTAGAGTGAGAGCGATAGAGGGAGTTGTCTTTTATTGTAATAAAAAGAGGTTTGTATTGAAGGATCTCTGTGGACAACCGCAGGACAACAAGCGCATGTGTCCAAACAACAGATGGGCCGAGCCACAAGTCAACACTTCCTTTTTTGGAGTAAATAAGAGGGTTATTTGAAAAACACACATTTGATCTCTGAGAAACAAAACATTTGAAATACTGTTGGAAATTTGAACATCACTGAATTTGTTTTCAGAGAAAATTGGTGCTTTAGACTTTGTACAATACAACTTCAACAATAGCTTCAGTGAGACCTGTAATTTCATTGTGATTTGGTCATATAATCATCCCATTTTAGGTCAGAACATTGTGCTTAACATCCAGTTGAGCACAATGTTCTCTGAATCAAAACAAGGTTCAACGTGGTCAGTCGTAAGACCAGAGCTACATTCAGCTGTCTGCATGCAAACCACAACTTGAGCGTGGAATATGAAATGTCAAGAGGTGGAAGCCGGAAATTAAGACCAGCTCCACTAAAGATAATAAAAAAACGTAAATTAAGCATAACATAAGAGGTGCAATTTCACACGGAAAGAGACATATTTTTAATAAACTGCTATTGTTAACACATCACATTTGCAAAAAACAATTTCAGGCTTTACTCAACACATAAAATGTTACAATATCTCAAAAGTGGAAAAAATGAATCTAACTCGTGTAACTTGTAGTAATTTTTTACAACAGCAGCAGTTTTGATATTCAGCATGTTAAGAAAACAGAGGTGACATAAACATCATTATGGCTTTTATGTGCGTATAAAAGCAAAAAGAATAAACAAGCTCTGCTTATTTCCATTGAAAAGCTTATGACATGTATACCAAAGCAGTACCATATAAAGACATTAACATTGTTTATTTTCCACAAAAAAAGGAAATTAGAAGTTGATGAAAACACAAGATTAAAGTAGACTTTAAGACGGTTTTAAGACTTAAACGGACCCTTTCAAAAAAAACACACCGAGGTAAAAATCATAAACATACTGCATATGTGATACACACGATATGGTCCTCTTTGGCATATTACACATATGTGCAACTACAGCGTTAAGCTAATGCTTCATGGAATCTTTACTTTCAGAGCATGTTGCCATGATTTGGAGAGAGTTTGGGCTGCTGGGGAGTAAGAAAGCATTTCCTGTCAAAGATGTAGTGCGTGGATGCGTCCGACATGGCACGCATGGATCTGGGGATCCCGGAAATAAAACCCGGATGATGATTTTAAGTGTGTATTAGTGAGAGTAGAGTGTAGCCTCACAGACTAGAGCCTCGGCACTAAGTGAACGAGGTTGTAAAGTAGAAACTCCAGGGACGAAATAAAGTCTAGTTACGGAGACAATGGCTGCTTGTAAAATATTTATAATGACACAATGGATGCTCTTTCAGATGGCAGCAACGACATATGTTTTTGTTGATGCTGTGTTCTTTAATTGAAGCTCAGAAGAGCCCAGTGATCTCCTCTGTGACCGGGTCGAGGTCAATGTCGTAGAAACAGGGGCGGGTTGGCAGGCCAGGCATGGTGCTCATCTGAGGGAAACATAACAAAACACAAAAGGGAAACAACTTCAGAGAAAAAGACTTACAATAGTCAAAATCAAGTTGTAATCTTTCTCCATGTCCAACGGTTTCATGTTCTTAATGTAACTTTGGTTTCAGGTTGTTGGGTCCAATTCAATTGAAGGTTAGCAACATTTTGAGGACTAAAAGGATCCCCTAACCAAATGTTTTCTGATTTAGGATATTATCTTGTTCAATTCATACATATAAGACACAAAAAGCAAAAATCCATTCAAATTTTAAAATGATTAGTTTTTTTCAGATCCTCCGTCTGCTGTTTTTGCTCCATTTCAGTGTGCTATAGTACGACTGAAATTTGTTCACCAAATTATTCTGTTATTATGTTGAATGAAAGTGAAAAAGGCACTCGCGCAGTGTGTTGCTTGTATAATTATTTACAGCCTTTCAGTCTAAACGATGAGACTTTTAGTTGTTTATTTACAGCATTCGGTCTACACGTCTTAACTGTTAACAGTGTGTGAGACAATGCAACTACACTGAAATATGTTGCGTAATAACTGCAACATATACATTAACTAAATAAACTGAGACATCTGAAATAAATCAACACCCAAATGAAGGCTTGAGAGACTACAGCATAGTCTTCATAATGAAAAGAAAGACACCTTTTAAAGTTGCATCTTCTCACCAATACGTTTGAAATCTAGTGCTCTTCATGAGAAAGGTGTGCAGATTTACTATTAAACTCATAAGTGATGTGAAACATTTCAGCATTGCTAAATCACTGTAATATTAGCAGCTGGTTCATATTCTTCGTCTGTCTTTAAACAAGCGTCTCATAAAAATGTCAGTAACATCAGAACCAAATAAGATAGAAACCTTTAATAAGTTAAACCTCATATTTTGCCACAACACAGCTGTTCTGCACCAAAAGACAATTCACTAAGACTCTCTCTCCAGCTTTGCGTAAATGGGACAGAAGAAGACCGACCCCCTACAGCGCCAATGACTATAATCTAGACTCATTTACGTCTGGGCAGACAGATGATCAATGTGTTGACAACCTACACTTTAGCACTGATGAAGTTGTAGGAACAAAGTCGCCACTGTCTGTGGCTGTCGTCACAATATAGACAGCAAAAGGCTACCTCACAGATACGAGAGATAAGAGAGGAGGCTATGTACAGATCTGTGGTGGTAAGAGCGTTCTCGTCCTGATGGAGTAAGATTGGAAGGAAGAGTTTTGATTTGTCCAATAAGTAGCTAAAAGAACCAAAAATATAAATTATAGAACACACATTAACAAAATGTTTTTCCTAAAGTGAGTACAAGTGATCGACTGAGAGGGATTTTGTTTTTGTGTCGAGCTTTGATGATCATCCACATAATAATAAGAATCACTTTTCAAAGTATTCCCAAATTTATGTATATAAAAAAAACAAAGAAAATTGCAGTGTTTGCGACAAATAGTAAGATAACATTTATCTACAGCACATGTACCTCTACAGTATGAGTGAGTGAGTGTGATCCTGTTAGTGTGAGTAAGATCCCTGCTGCTGTGACCAGCTGACAGCAAACGTCCATCCGGGAAATCCATGTGGAGTTATATTGAGACAGATTTAATAAAAAAAAAATAAAAAAAAGCAGCCGACTGAGGAAATGATTCCTAATAATGCAATTTGTGACGTGAACAGCAGAGAGAGCGTGTGAATGAAGGCTCATGTGTACAGTCAACGAGACCAGATATTAACAGCATGTGCTATGGTTAATAGTGTAATTGAAAAAAAAGTCATCTCATTTAGGTGCCAAAACTCATCCGACTCCACATTTCAAGTCAATAAATGTGCAACTCCAGTGTTTGCTGGATGGCAGATACAAAGATGGAATTGGCCGACACTTTTCCTCTCCCAAAACTCGGCCACATCATCATCCCAGCCGAGCCGAAAAGTAAATACATATTTATCGCTCATTAGACAAGGAGCGACATTCTTTGCGTGCCTCCTTTCTTCTGACCCAGGGCCAGCTTTATGGGCCCATTAGTGGAAATGAGACAGGAAGAAGTGAGCAGCCAATTTCCTGTCTGAGGAAACGCAGCCCTGCGTTTAAACGAAGGGCCTAAATGAGGAGAACACACTTGCATAATCCCACAGAGCGGCTGCTGCCGCTCGCTGGTCTGACGTAAACAGTGACCGCTGTTACGCGAAACCGTTCTGACGACATCCGTCAATAAGGCTTCGACCACGGATGACTCGGACTACGAGCAGATTTGAAGGAATTCGATGTCAATGCATCACCTTTTAATCTAATGGATGCATTAAGGACAAGGAAGGCAGAGTGATTCATGCATTTCTCCTTTTAGTTGTGACAGCACAATGTCCGAACACTATTGCATGATGTCATAACAAATTGCTCAGTGGGAGAAGCTTTTGACTTCAATTTTTTTCCCATAAGATGACATTAGGTGACTCACAGTTGAAGCACAACCTACGATGTGGATCAGCATGCAACTCTCCCTGATGAATCATCAGGTTAATAGACTAAACCACTTTATAGTGATTCAGGTGGTTTAGTAGCCAGAATATCTGGTTCTTCCATGAAAAGTCAAAAAGGTACAAGCGTGTGCATTTAAATAGGTAGACAAAGAAGTCAGCTACGACTTCCACGGGGCAGTTTGCCGAGAACCATCCAATCGCAGAGCTTAAAATTCTGCTCTATGTGCGCTCTTAAAGGTGGATGGAAAGCTTAAGATAACAGTTTTGAGAAAACTGGCAAAACAATAAATCAATTTACTTTTGGATTCTGTATCATTTTTGCAATTATGGCACCGTGTTATGTACGGTTTCATTCTGTTCTGCTCCGGCCCTCTGACAAATGTCCAATAAGACAAGAGGTAGACTCATGTACACCATAATTCAGTTTTATATAGTAACTGAAGCATCGTTGCTTCATTATGTATAACAATAAGCAGCTTCTTGAACGTGAAAGAAGGCAAAATTGATCATATTTCACACTTCTAAACAGGACATACGTCCACAGAAATGAGCTATATTTACAATACAATGTGGTCAGAAAGCATGACAATGCACCTGCCTTACTGTTATAAATATAAGTAGGACTGCAATAAAGAAGAATCTCTGAACAACCGGTTTCACTCAATTAAATTGATAGACTTTGAAGCTCAGATCACAGAAACATACACGACAAAAAAAAAAAAAACTTAAATAAAACTGCTTCAAAGTAACATGATTTTCAAAACTACTTTTTGCTGTTATCAGGGTGCACATTTAAATATGTAAAGATGCTTACATGTGAAGAGTAACTGTCTTAACTGTCGAGGTTTTGAAAGCAACAAAGGATGTGCTACTCTGCTGGTCGTCCTCGCCAGTCTGAAAACATGTTGGCACTCGCAGAATGACATAACACTCCGTGGCTAAAGTTGGAAACTCCACTCAGCCAAATAAGTCCCTCTATTGTACCAAACACAATGCGTCTTTGTCAGAGGAAACCCTAGAGGGGACAATGTAGCTGGAGCTCTACCCCCCACAGACTCTGGAGAAGAGTCTCGGTCAACAACAGCACAGTCGCTACACAAAGGGATTGAGGAGATTATGGAATTGTGCCATTTAAGATTAACGGACCGTTAGAGGGCGGAAATGTGGAAATCACAGTGTGAAACACGCTAAATGGATTCTCTTTATGTTGGGCTGTATGTTCATCTGGTGAAGTTGCTTTATTGGCGGTGAGACAAGTTTGAAAAATGAATGTATTAAATAACCCATTGACTAGAACGGTGGAGTTATATTGGTGAGATTGAAGAGTTTATGGGTTTAGTTTAAACTTCACAGTGACAAGTTGCAGACATTTACTCTGCAAGTCATGTTTAGGACTCAGGTGACTAAATACATGTTCGTCAGTCACACATTAGACAAATACTTATTTACACAGATGCAGTGTTGATGCATAGGGACAAAGCTTCAAATTCCAGTCCTATTACGTTTAATCTCTGCATCCGTTTTACTGTAACTGAAGCAAAAGTACAGTTGAAAAACGGGTCAGTCTGACAGATAAAAACATGCCTGATTTATTGAGTTTGTCGTAGGTCTTTGGGTCATTTACAGGGCCAAACTCAGCGAAAATGAATGAAGGCCTTCTTCTATCTCATGTGTGCCGTCTCTAATAGACGTAATCACAGATCTACAACTTGTTGAACATTAACCATTTGGGACCATGTGGCATACGTTTGGGGTTTAATGTTGCAGTGGAGGCAGCTCCAGCGGGATATGAACTCTAAAGAGATCTATTGTTCTGCCTGCGACCCTTCCCTCACATATCTGAAGAATGACATCAGCCACTTCCTGATTCTTCACCCTGTAAAGACCCTTAACCCCCCCCCGCAGGCCTCCCCCCCTCCTCTCTCACTCTCACGCCCTCACCGCCTCAGGACTTTAGAGATCTGTCTTCCTCTTGGAGTCCCATGGGAACTGAGAGATTGTCAATGCTTTGCCAGATATTAAAAAAAGTTTGCAGTGATTTGCCTTAAGTAGTAGAGAGCATGTAGGTGCTCAGTCGTGTATCCTTTACATGCTATACTATTTGGTTGAGGGGTGAAGATGTCTATGGGTCAGTCTGGCAGACGGAGGCGAAGCCAAAGAGTTCAAAGAACAATTTGGAGGCTTCCTTTGGGTGAGGAATCACAGTTCAAGGGTTGTCAGCGTGCCAGTGGCTCCACGGGCCGCAGCAGATCAAAGGCAAGGTTGGGAGGTTGGGACAGGCGCCACACCAAAGGCACTGCCATGCCTTCCCAGCATGCCCGGTGTTTGACACCTCTGCCTCGGTGTATCAAAGCCCATCACCTCGGGGCACTCTGGTGAAACAGCGGGGGACAAAACACTAAGGAAGCTGCTACCTTCCTGCCCGGCCCATCATCAACCGAGAGGCTCCAGCTAGCCCAGCTCTCTTCTAACCAGCTCAGTAACATGGTTATGGTTTCCCAGAAGTGCAGATTAGGCTTTTAATTAGTTAAGTTAATTAGTACAGTCGAGCTTAAATTCTGTCCACGATGCTGAAGATTAAAGTGAGCAGCTGGAGTCATCAGTGTTTGCACTGGATATTACAGTAAAAGTAAGGGCGCCATATTGTACGATTAGATTCAACGTCTTGTGCAGTACAGCCGCTCAAAGCTGCTTTGACACTTTGAAACCTTTTTGTGTCTCTAGCCTGCTTTCAGAGCATTCCCACTGAAACACACGTGTACAGACAAACGCACATGGAAACATACAAGTTCATCATAAACACGTGATTATGATTTCCTGTGGTGTAATAATGCAACAATCTTTGGTTCTAAGCCAAAACGCTTATTAAGCCCTCAGGGTGAAGCCTAACGCGTTCCAGATTTCGCTTTAAACCTAAATAGCCACTTGGGTCCAGTGAAAATACTTTGTGAACACAACATTGAAATATCTTCACCTTTCAAGTTGATATGGAACTTGTGAGCAAACAGCTGCTTATTAACACATCAAGCTGTAACAGAGAAACATTAGTTGCACGTGCTATGCTATAAGAAGCTAAATGTATTTTACATACAAATCTCTGCTGTACAGCCTAGTATGAAGGTGGTCGAGGTACTTTAATGTGTTGTACAGTACAGTTTGCAGTATTTTACTAAATGTAGTCTACAGCCATTACTCTGCCCAGAAGTTTCAGTTCCTAACAATGATGGAACACACTGTAAATGACAGTATATGCATTCATCACATCTATGCATTTTTGTGGATCCAGTCACTTTCAAAAAGCTCTGTAATCATGAGCTATAAAAACTGCTTTAAACTCTTGCAGCGACAGTTACGTACCGCTCCCACAAGTGGGAAGATGAAACCGGCCCCAATGCTAGCACGAACATCTCTGATGGGCAAAACAAATCCAGTGGGTACACCCTTCTTGTCAGGCATATGGGACAGGGACAGGTGAGTCTTCGCCATGCAGATGGGCAATGAACCATAGCCCTGGTTATAGGAAAAACAAAACAAGGAACTTGGTTAATATGTGTGCGTTCGTGTAAGTGTGACAGAGAAAGGAGATGATCTGTGCGTCCGTTGCTCACCTGTTGATTGTAGTAATCTATCTTGGCCGTGGCCTCTGGAGACAGCTCAATGTCATCAGCTCCATATACTTTTTGCGCGATTGTTCTGATCTTCTCTACAATCGGCATCTATGGGAAAATCAGTGCGTCAGAGAAAGGTGGAAAGAAACAAGCAGTCCGGCCAAAGGGAATAATTGAAAAAATGATATTTAGTGAATAAACATCAGTTTGACGTCAACAATAAAAACAGTGACTCTGTGAGTTAAATCATGCGGCATGTTTGACGTTGACTCATACTAGACACTGCATCCCTTTATAGTGCCAGAACTGTGGCCTGGTGAGATTTTAGCTAACAGACTTTTCTCTTTCTACTAATCCATGTTGAAGCCCATGCCCCCTGCAAAAGACAGGTTCTGCTGTTTACTAGAGTCCAACCCGCGAGTCGGCTTCTGCTGGATCCTCCTTGTCAGACAGTTTGGTCTCTGCTAATTATGATGAGTATTTTCATATTTCTTAAACATGTCTGGAGGGGAACTTGGATTATGATTCAATCATCAAAAAAAAATGCAGATTTTCCAAGGAAGGCATCTGCTCTCACCTCGATGTTGTACAGGAACTGGAAGTTGGCGGGTCTGCTGGCAGCCTCATTCACAGCTTGGGCCAACTCTAAGGAGCCTCGGCCGCCCTGCGCCCAGTGGTGACACGGCACAGCGTCTGACGCTCCGCACTCTTTCGCTATCTGACACACGAGCTCAATCTCTGCCTGGGTGTCTGTCCTACAGGGTCACCAAGGGAAACAAATTACTTATTCAGAGACTGAATGAATGGAACATAAATGGTTCTTTTGTGGGTCCATCTCAACTGTAAGCCCATTGATTGACTGTACATTACAGAAAACTTGGTGATTCACGCTATGTGATGTTTTTGAGGACGTGCGTGTCTGCATGCATCTTACTTAAAGACATTGAGTGCCACCACGACTGGTACCCCAAACAGGTGTGCAATTTGGATCTGCTTCCAGAGATTGCTTTGACAACCACCTGCAACTAGACTCAGATCCTAGAGGAGAAACAGAGCAATGGTCAGGAATGTATTATTTTCATTCAACTGAACCCTACAAGACTGGTAGTATCTTACTGTGTACAGTTATTGAGTCATCACTCTCACATTGTATACTATTATGTGCAGAGTACATTAATAGCATATTGTGCAGCTACTCCAAGTTTGATGGCAGTAATCCAACCTTGCACTCTGTGTGCGTGCGTGCGCAGCCCCAGGCTCAGAGCAGTAAGGCCATACAGGTCCCATTAATTAATTTCCATGGCTCTGTTTTCCCCAGTACTTCTGGTTTTCATTACAGGCTTCACAATTAACTTATACTGCTTCATTATTTACTCAGCTGAAGCAGCCTGAAAGACCAGTGATTTTGGCCAGATATGAACACGCACACACACACACACACACACACACACACACACACACACACCACTTTGCTAAGACCCACATTCACGGAAACCACATGCAAAGGTTGTATTTGTGCTGTTAATCAAATAAGTGCTGTTAACCAGGTTAGTGGGCGAAGTATTTATGCATATAGGAATTACATATCTGTGAGAATACAGACTAAGGCAGATTTATTATACATCTATTTATTGCATTACACACAAATCTCTATAACCTTTTCGTGGCTTATGCAAAAACAGGGTTCATATGTTTTTACTTATACATTTCCAGGATTTTTCCACAACTTGTCATAGAAACATCTGTGAAACATCTGTGCAAAGGCTAACAAAAATCCAGGTCAACTGTACTACAGTAACACTATATCTTAACTAAAATGAATCACAAGCTATGGCTGTCGGGCAATATGACCTGAAAAGCCGGCTTGTGTCTTCACATGACACAAGACTTGACATTGGTCCCATGTTTGATGGACAGGGAAGCACTGCTGATGGCAGCGGTTGTCCCGTTTTTCCAGTAGAATTAAATAGTTTAGCATAGCTACCGTGTTTGTGCTAGCTCTCCCAATGTTCAAAATGTCCAACGTTTTTACTTCACGGTCCACATTTTGCTAGAATTGACATGTCATTAAAAGTTAAAGCTGCGACTCAGGTCGGAGTCTTATGTGGGAATGTCAAGGACATGGCTCTCATGGCAGTCCACTCCAAAACACAACACAAAACAACCAAGCAGAATATGAGCACATGATTGTTTGGAGCTTTAATTTTCCTGTAAACATCCTGACCTTAACGACTAAATGCAATAAAACAGGCTGGGTTAATTATTTTAACTTGATTGGAAGCGATGGAGCAGCCCCCAAACTCCTCTGCTCAAATATGTCATGACATGTAAACACACATACTGTACATTTATTATTATTATGTCTCCCTCATGTTTATATTGTTGTCAGTGGCTATGCTTCTTATTTTTAAGTCTATTTGTGTGCATTTAAGCATTTCTACATGGCTCATACCTCAACAATGTACTCTCTGGGAAGAGGTGCCCCAGCCGACACCTGAAAACACACAAAGACAACAAATATTCACACACTTCAGTATTAGGTAACATTCAGCTATATATGTTATTCTAAGGCAGCATTAGGGACGGTATAAAAGACAGAAGCAGGTGAAGTGGCCATCTAACTGGTGGACAGCGTTACATTATATCAACTTACATTTGGTCCACCGCCGTGCATCTTCAACGCTCGGACAGTTGCAACCAGCACCACCACATTCGGCCTCAGCCCTGACGCCCGACATTTGATGTTGAAGAACTTCTCCATCCCAATGTCCGCTCCAAAACCAGCTTCCGTCACTGTGAAGAAACAGATTTCCTTTTCACAAATGAAGATTTCTAATTGAGTGCATTTTAAGATTCTGGTCAGTATACAATCATCCCCTCATCCCATCTTTTGTTTGTGTTCTTTAGAAAAGACTTACGAATTGCCAAATAAATTCTCTGCACCAAACCAAAACTGGAGCAGCAGCACTTGGAAAAGACTTCCAAATAGGGAGTGAGGTTCATTGTGATAGCAGAAACATGCTGACCTGATCTTGAACCAGTCACTTACCTCTTGTTTAATACCATTTTGACCTCAACCCAACTTTATATACACACACAGGGTCAGTCTGACATCTAGAATCATGGGAATACGAGGTGAGTGTGACTGTGTTTCTGTCTGAGCAGTAACGCTGTATTGAGTAATGGGTTCACTGTAAGGGCTCTCAAAGAGACAGAGCGCCTCTGATATTGACGGCCCCTACACTCAGGCCTCTTGAACGGGCTCCAAACAAAGCAAACAGTCCACCTGGAATCACGGCCTTGTTGAGATAAGGTTTCCGGTTACTTATTGTGTAGATGTGTGTGTGTGTGGCACCATTGTGGTGGACCGAAGCTAGAAGTTTACAGGAAGGCTGAGGTTGATTTCGAGCCCAACGTGTTTTAGTGAGATTTGAACGACTTTTGGTGTTTCTGGAGAAGGCTGGTTTGGTTTAACAGCCAAAGGTTTAGTGACCATTATATTATTGTAAACTCGACTCACTCTGAACATCTTCCCTGAATTCACTGTGTACGTTGTTGGACGCTACAAACCAGAAGCGTTCCCCTTCTGTATGATCTTTGAGAGAGCAGCCTCTGTCGTGGACACAATGAGCATCACGTAAACCTCTTAAGATGTAATTCAATTCAAAGGAGAATACTGAAATGTGACTAGAAAGCAGGTCAGGAGACAAATTCAATTTCTGTGATAAATGACATTCACATGCTTGTGTGTGCAGAGATTTATCTATACAGTGAATGATGCCCGCTTTATAGAGTGCAGTAAAGCTGTCATGAAGGAATGATTTGGATCAGTTCCTTTTGGATGGAAATTAATTATGTTATCGATTCTTGATGAAAACAAAGAAAATATTTTAAAATTCATTGTTTGGTGACAAGGGAACGTTGTATATATGAAGCGTTAAGTAAGAAAGGGAGTTATTTAATGTAGCTTACAGTGCTTGAGGCTCTACTGAGAAAACAAGTGTTTCTATGAAGAAATGCATCACTCTGCTGTGTGCGGTTCTCTGCAATACTCGGGAATGTTTGATTTATTGTACCAGGGATGAGCAAAAAGACTGCAAGGAAGGGAGGAGAGGAGAAGGAAGATAAGCGGGGAAAGAGAAAGAGCTGAGGTAAATGAGAGAGAAGAGAGAATCGTCTGGGTACAAGAACAATAGGAAGAAAAGCATCATTTCATTGCTCGGACTTAACAGCGTCTGGGAATAGGACAATGTTGACGTTTAGCAGAAATTGTGGCTTGGGGGGGGGAGTCTTGGCTGCATCTCTCTCTCTCTCAATGTTAAACAAAGCAACAAATTACGCCTGCGGGATGAGCACAAGAATGTAACGAGGCTTTATGTGGCCTCGACCACTGACAGGGAGCGTAGTGGTTCTCGTTAGCGCCACACTAGAGCTTTGGCTCTGAATCCTGAACCAGCCTGGCAATGAAAACATTCTTGGGATCAGGATTTGTGGGTGTTTCCATAAATTGTGCGATGATCTCCCAACAACTGAGCACAGGAGGAGTACTCATACCGCACATGCACAACAATGCGGAGCAGAGAACTAGGACACGATGACATTACACCAAGCAGCCGATTGACCCCGGAGGACGTCAGGAGGAAACACTTGCAAGCTTCCTGTTCTGTGTGACGACCTTGAACTGGCCAGTAACAAGAGGGGAAGAGGAGGTCGATGTTGTTGTGAGTGTAAAGAGAGCTGGATGGTGTTACCACCAGTCAACGCATTAGTATCAGCACCCACGCTAGTAAAAACTCTAACAGAGAAGGCCGGAAAGTAGGCAAGATCTACACAACCTTCTGATTTCAAGTTGGAGTTGTTGCATTTAGTTGGGCTGCAAATAATGATTCATGTCATTATTGATTAAGCTGATGATTCGGTTCTTTTTTCAATTATTTGGTTTTGTTTTAAATGTTATAAAACCAGAGATATTCAATATAGAATTATATAAAAATAAGACAAGCAGGAAATCTCTGTATTTGAAAAGGCCCATTTCCTGTATTTTTTACTATGGCCTTTTTCTTGGAGGGATAATTTGGTTGTTTTGAAGTGGGGTTGTATGAAGTACTTAACCATAATCAGTATGCCGACCGCCATCTACTTAAGTTCCTCATACAATCCCACTTAAAAACACCCAAATTATCCCTTTAAATTAATATTTGATCTTAAAAATTGTTTATCAATTATTTCTCGACCAACTAATCGATAAATCTACTAATAATTTCTGTACCATTTCTTCATGCGTACTATCACACGATGAAAGCTTTGTATTAACCGCACATTTACATAAAAGGGATAGTTCGATGGCGGTTGGCACACCCCCAGTTTGGAAAAGCAGCTAGGAGTACAATGAAATGTCCTGCTGTGGATGGGAACATATCTTAGCCACCTAAAATAAATGCCCATCTAAGTGTACAGTGTATGAAGAATATTTTCACTCCGTTTACATTTCCCTTTCAGTTCCACGTTGAAAGATATTCTGAATAAAGCACACACTGGATAATGAACCTGTTCCTGTGTCAGTGCTCCCGTCCGTCTCTCTAAACTGCGGGTGTACTATCCCTTTAATGCACTTATTTTTAGTGATTCTGTTTTACTTACCAGTGCATAAATATGCATAATGCATACAGAACTCTAGGATGGAGAATTTGAAGGCAATTTTGTTTTAAAGTGGTGTCGAAGAGGTTTTAGAGCTTTAAAGGTTTTACATGCGGAACATATCATAATTTCTCTTTTTCCGTGGCCACTTCTCTAAAAGCCCAAATGATTTGTTGCTTTAGTTTAGGGAGGCTGTGCGGTGTGGGAACTCTTGCAGTAAAACAGTGTCAGGGGGTTATCTGCGTTCAATACTCCAGACTGCTAATGATACAGGAATCCCTCACATCTGGCATGTGGAATCCATCCCCCAGCAGCCCCTTCGTCGCATTTTCCAATTTTAAGTCCAGATCCCAAAGTGACTTGAAAAACACTCAATAATACAGAGCATGATAAAGGGGTACGTACACACACACACACACACACACACCCCTCTGCGTTCATAGAGAGTTCATCTACTTCTTTTGCCACATGAGCGGAGTTTGCAGAAATAACTTGACTGTGAATTATTACATTATAGTTATTATATATTGTAATATTACATTATAAGACACTTTAGTGTAGTTACATCAGTATTACAGTCAGTTTGGGTTTACTTTTTGTGTTGAAAACAGCTGCCTGCTGCGTCCAAAACAAGGCTGATGAGAACGGTGAGAGTGAACCAGGGATGATGAGGTCTGTCAGGTTGTCACTATCACATTACACACAGTCAGTCGATCCATTATTAATAAAATAAAAATATTGAGCCTTTTTGGAAGAGAAGACAAAAGCGAAGAATAAAATGATTCCCCATATTACCCAGACAGTCTGTTGTAAATCCATTACAATCCTTCTTTAAAGTGGAGCTCATGGACTCGCTGTAGTGATGCATGTGTTCTTGTGCAGTGAGGGATTACTAGCTCTCCATTTCACCTCCAAATAAAGTAGGACAGATAATCCAGCCTAAACCCTTCAGACTTCGTCATCGTGTTTCATCTTAGCAATTACTTTGGTGTCTACAATGCTTTTACAACCAATACAAATAATGACCCATGTCCAGACTGCATTTGCAGATATATTCATTTTCTTAATTTCGCTATAATTATTCTTTACAGTGGTGCCATTTAAAATAAGGCAAAGTGTGTAGCATCAGAAAAATAAGGGCCTGAGAGGGGAGGGAGTTACATGCATCCCAGCTGCAGAGGGCGAAAAAGGAGGGAGGTCGAGTTCCTGGCATACCTGAGAGTCGGGTAACAAACACACAGACAGGGAAGAGGGGGGGTGAGACGGCAAGATGGAAAATAAGTGGAGAGGAGAGGTTGAGTGTAAAACGCACACGAGCCTCTCTGCTCCAGTGTTGTGAAACCCAACTCTCTGCTCACGCTGCCGACACACTTGCTCACAGATGACAGCTTGTGTAAATGTTGTGTGTGCCCAAAGAGTCACCAGTCTCCTCTTACCCGCTATTGCTCTCACAGAAAACTCTCCCACGTACGCAGAAACATAAGCCTCGACGAGATTGACGCGTACATCAAACTCACCTGACAGACTCAACAACACACACGAGTACATTCCCAACATATTTCTGCAGCCAAAGTAAACGAGGACGGACGGACGGCAGCGGGATAGATAGACAGATAAAAATGGAAATACTCAAGTATGCTTTGACGTTGAAGGGATTAGTGTGGTTTACTCTAAAGCATTCCAAGGGCTCTTAAGATTATCAATCAACTTCCTTCCTCTCGCTCTATCCTGTATTTTTATTTTTTTTTTTACGCAAGCTTTCTACCCGTTTCCTAGAAAGTTACGCAGCAGCAAGACACCAGAGCAGCGCACGAGTAGTCAACCGGAGGAAGTCAGAACAGAGCCAGAACTATAAAGAAGGCCAAAGGTTGCAAAGGCAGGGGAGCAAGCTGAAGTTCATGGCTGAAGTTCATGACTGGTGTAAACTGTAAATTGTAGTTTAATCTGCCCTGCAAAGGCCTTAGGCCTTAAATCCCTCCACACCTGGGGTTCCTAGACTCTGCAGTTAACATCTTGTGGTCTGTCATCCCCGAAGTCTTTGTGGTTGTGCGTCTGCTTCAGCTTGTGCGTGTATGCGTGATCTGTATGCACGGATTGTGCGTTCTTACCCACAAAGCCGTCCCGTCCGACCAACTTCAAAGCCAGCTTGTCTGCCAGCACGGAGGAGTTGCCATGGGCGATGTTGGCGAAGGGCCCAGCATGGACAAACACCGGCGTACCCTGCAGCAATAAGAGGGGCACACAAACACGCAGGAGGAGATGAGGAAACAGTGCAACCCACAGCAACTCACCCGATCAAGTTGAAATAAGGACTAAACGCGTTCTTTCAAACTAAATCCGATATCTTTCAGAAACGTAAATAGATGCTGAAGTGTGGATGCACTTTGGCTGGCACTGTGGTTGTCTAAACAGCAGGCACACGTTAAGAGGTACTCAACTGGCACGGCAGCCCGACTACGGGCCAAGCTTCCTTCCCCTGCTGATCCTTAAAGACTGGACACACACACACACAGACAAACTGAAAGAGCACTTCAAGTGTAAGTTACCGCCTCTGGCAGACACAGAGGCCACTGCAATCACTTTCAGCGAGGCAGTGCAACGTGCAATACGTGCGAGGAACACGTCATATGCTCAGCATTTACAGATCAAATAAATGTGAAAAGTCAAATTTTTTTTAAAGTGGAGCTTTGACTGTTGGATATCCCCGTTTGTATGCTTACTTCTCCAGAGAGGCAACAGCTCTGCAACATTCATTCAAAGATAGTTTACAGAGTGCATTCAGCCAAGACAAGGAGAGGTCTACTGCTCAAGGTAACAATCCTTCAGTTGCACTCAAGACAGACTTTAAAAAAGGAAAATGATTGAGAAAACTGTTCAAGAAGAAAACTGGGGAAAGCCAAGTGACCCATTGTTACGCTGCATGAGAATTCCTTGAGAAGGAGGGAAAAGGGAAGGATGGGAAGAACTTGCATGGTTTTCTAAGCTTTTGTTTGCATACCTCTCCCTCTGCCTGCATAAACAGCCTCCCCTCAGAGGAGTAAATCAGCCATTTAACAAGGCTCTGACAAAACGCTGTCTATTTGTCTATGAAAAGTAGGAGAACAGATCACAGCAGCAGAAAAGAAGGTCTACAAGGAAAAGAGAGGCAGCTGCGAGGAAAAAGAGAAAGACAGAACATTAAAAAGACAAAAAGCAACATCCTGTTAGTAGCCATTCAATAACATGTTCCTTTCTTTATTCAAAAGGAAAGTCCACACACGTCATACATTACGTGAATTCCCATCTGTGTTTCAACTCCTGAACTTTAACAGGACCCAGTTTACACTTTCCACGTCCGTACATGAGGGAAAGAGATTCAGGCAATAAATAAGCCCCAACAGGTTGATGAAAGTGGAAAGACCTGAAAAGTCCGGTCTGTCACCTCTTCAACTCGCGGACAAGAGGATTAGGAAGACAAGGGAAATGAACAAAAACAGGAAGATGGAGATCATGTCACGTTTTCCTTTGCTCGTGCATCTCTTGTACAGTCCACCACACCAGCTGCAGACCAGTGCTACACTAATACAAATGTTCCCAGTCTAGCAGAAGGATTCAAACCTGAGAGTCTGTAGTCACAGGTCTGATCGTCTATGCTACGTCTACTGCTTCTCGCTGGGGAAGATGCATACGGTGGGTTCGAGGAAATGCCTCATAGACAGGATGTATGAAAAACACGGAATGACTGAGGTCTGCTTTATAGAAACGTACACAGGGAGTAGTTTCTTCTTGTGCTTGGTCTCCTCCAAACCCCATCTGAAACAACAGAAACGTGTGCTCTAACACACACACACAAAAAACACACTAGCTTCCATATGCCAACTCCATTCTCATGTGTGTGTGTGTGTCTGTATTCAACACAAACAATTACAAGCCAAGAGGGCATGAGGGGCACAGGCGGCCAAGCTGCATGGAAAGTTCTCATGGAGCTCTGAGGCCCGGTCGGTCCCGATACCAGTTCCCTAACCAGAATCACAGGAAACCCACACAGGAAGCCGTTTCACACAACATGACCGCAATGCTTCCTCAAAAAAAACAACTCTGAAAGTAACCAAATATCTGCTGCATGCTACACTCCACCCCCTCTACACCCAGTCTGTGTTTACTTTCCCCACCCAGTTGCCATGTGTACCCAAGCTTTCTGTTCAAAACCAACAAAAAAGACAAATAGTCCCACAACAAAAACCTGTTAGCAGGAGCATGACTGCTAACATTGTTAACTTTAATGACTTAAATCAATCTGACAGAATAATACACTTTGGCCCACACAGCCCCGTGTCTCAGACTCTTAGCTGGAACAGCGTACCATGAGAACATCAAGAACAAAGATAAACCAGACGCAGTCGCCTGGATGTACAAACGCCAACACACTGCCGAGGCACCACAATGACAGGACAAGTACTGCAGCACCACGATCTTTGGAATGTGTCTTTTCTCATTTGACAAAGACGGAAGAAGACCGTCTCACCGATTTTGAGATATTTTTGAGACTTCAGGGGGCGTTCCAGTTAAACTTTCTGACTGGGAAATCGGAAATTCAGACTTCCCAGTTCAACTGGAACGCAGCTTTCCTTATGGTTGAGAACCAATGCAACAAACTAACAGGGAACAGGATAACTAGCAGTATATCAAGAGCGATACGATTTGAAATTAAAATGTCTTGTTTAGCTCAACAATCAGTCTAAAACCCAAACATATTCCGTTAAATACCATAGAAAGCTTAGAAAAACTTAAAATAGTCACATTTAACCAACAATTTTGATATGCACAGGAAGTGAATGATACCAGTCCCGGGATATAGTGATGGTTTTAAAGTTTCATCCTTTAGTGGATAAGTTAGCTAATGGGCGAGTCGTATATAAACTCGGTGCTTCTTTCAAGTAGGCTTTCGCTGTACCAGAGAGGCCAAAGATCAATGTCTGGATTGTTATTAGTACATTTAAACCCTCCAACTCCACTGCTCCACATTAATCACCTTGAGGGTTGGGCTTTCTCCTCTAGAACAGGGAGATAAATAGATATATATGTTTATGTTCCTGTGTGATCACATGTCCAGTCATCTCACTGTAATGTCTCAAAAGCTAAATGAAAGCCAGATGTTGCGAGAGGCAGAATTATGGTTTAAGTCGTCACAAGGGCTTAGGACACAATGCATCTGGACGGGATGGCCTGTGAGAGCTCCACCTGTCCTCTACACTCTGCTACACTGACGTTAAGATAAAGTGCCATGGGAGGAAAAAGTCAATTCATCATTCTTTCCTAAAAGCTCTCAGTGGAGCGCGCCCTCTCTTTTCTCTGACAGCAGATGTAGATGTAGTGAACACTCTCAACGTCCCTGTGGACCGCCAGCATATTTATTATAGAAGATATTCACCTGAAGACGCTCTGTTGAGAGGGTAATGGCTATTTAAGTGGGGTTATGTGTGCGTGTCTCACCTCGAGGGTCTGCATCAATGTGGGCTTGATGGCATCTTTCATTAACACCGCCAATGCTCCGCTCACACCCTGACAGGCAGGAAGAAAGAAATATGAAGGTGGGGGGGGACAATAACAAGTAATAAGGATTAAGACAAGTATTTAACCTCACCAACGCTTTATATTTATGTACAGAAGAGTTTAATGGTTATCCACTACAGATGATAAATGGCATGGCACTACAGTCCATTTGTAGGTCTCTGTGCTTGCTTCCCAAAATATGCCTCGTCAGCAATCTCAACACACTACACACAGTTGCACAGCATATTCTCACTGGGGCTGGCTCTAAAAGGTGTGGTGATGTTTTTCCATCGAGTCTAATCAGAAGACTAATGTAACTCTATAGGGGATCCTCCTCCACGGCTCTGAAACAACACAGGCCGCCGTCTTCTGTGGGAAACCAGAACCAGCTGACCCCACACGAGGACCCGGTGAGAGGTGCGAAAACTCTGCTCAACGTCTTAATAGCAGGTTACACCTACATTAGATGTGTTGTTATGAAGAGGGGAAGTGGTACTTTAAGTGAATCTGGGACAACTGGGAATTTGGAAATGTTTAAACTGCAAGTTTGACAGAAAATGATGATGACGATGAATTATGTTTAACGCGTTTCTCCAAAAACACCCACAAGGGCCCCAACGCCGCAGGTTCCCCTACCAAAAATGTAGGACACACCTAACCGTCACACTTCTCTCTGCAAGGCCATGACAGATAAAGTCTCTTCATTTCAATACAGAGATGTAGTGATGAAACGCCAACTGTGAGATTTTCAGCTTTCATGAAAAAGACCACACAGTAACACACACCAGGTCCTCTGCGGTGACGGGCTGTCCGGAGCGACTGGTGCCCACCACCATGCGCGCCAGTCTGTTTCTCATGTCCTCCAGGCTGTCTGCCAGAGCCAGGATGGCCATGATCTCGCTGGCCACGGCAATGTCGAACCCAGTCTGCAGAGTGAGAGAAAGAAAGATCATACACAATGTGAACGACAAGGGCAACAAACTGCAGCAGTTCACCGGCCTGAAGAACATTCAGATGCATTTACCAACCACGAAACAGACGAGCAGAAATTCTGCAGTTTCATGTTTATTGTGTGAAATCATGTTTACAATTTATATTAAAGTGTTGACTGCTTAGTAAAAATATAACTGACTGCCTCACGTCCACAGTGACTGTTAGAACAGAGATTATGAAGACACGATAGTCACCAGCTCTATCACATGGGCAAGAGAATACAAGTCATATGATTATGGCCTAGTTTTGGAGTAATGGATTTGGGAAAGGAAATAACTATTAACATGTTTAACTATTGTTGGGACTTTCTGTATTGATTTATGTCAAACTAAAACAAACAAATAATGGAATGAGGGATTTCCACTGGGAAGAGTCTGGGAAACCAAAGCAGTGTCCATTCCACGTCAAAAGAAAAAAAGAAAAATAACTTAAACCACATAAATCCACCAAGGAACACATTTCTACTCCCACTGATAATGCCCTGAGGGGCTATAGTGTATCCAGCGCTGGAGGAAGGTGGAGGACAGGGGAATGAAAAAGGAAACAGAATGGATGAACTGATGGTGGTAAATGTAAACATATGCTGAACTAGCTCAGAGGCGGTTCCAGGTGTGTGTGTGTGTGTGTGTGTGTGTGTGTGTGGATGGGTGGGTCACTTTTCTCCTTCTTCAAACATTTGCTTTCACTTAAGCCTGCTTGCTTCCCATTGAGGTGAAGTGTTTATTTACAGGATTTCATTTAGCTGTCATTACTACAGGCATATGGGTGGAATACATCTGGCCTTTATCACGAACAGAGGGGGGGGGGGAATGGAGGGGACTGTGTGTGTGTGTGTGTGTGTGTTTGTGAGTCTATTAGAAAGTTTGTATAAACTCAGTTTTATTGTACGAGTATCTTAAAGGAAGAGTTCAGATGTTTTGAGGTGGGGCTGTATGAGGTACTTATCAATAGTCAGTGCTTTACATACAGTAGATGACGGGTCGACCAGCAACCCCAGTATTCTGGAGTCTGGTGTCTATGGTGAGAACAGAGATGGCTAACAATACTTCAGTTCCCTGTCAGAAATGGCAAAGTAAAAATATTATAAATATACTCTACACTCTAACTGATCCTCTCCAAGCTGGGGGCGTGCCGACCGTCATCTACTGCAAGTATTACACAGACTGTGGTTAAAGTACCTCATACAACCCCAATCCAAAACACCTGAACTATCTCTTTAATAACAACATTACACCCAGGTTAATGACAGCCACCAGCAAAGCCTCTGCAATGAAAAAACTGCTGTTTTGTCATACTGTGTGGGTGAATGATAAAATATTTGCGATGAACTTGAACGCAACATATAGATCAGTTCTGGTCACATTTGTCATATTCTGGATATCGCAAAAATACACGAAACAAAGCCGGTGGGTGAAGAATATTTCAAAAGAACGTCAACTATTCAGAGGAAAGAAGATTGTGAAGGCACGAGTGCTGCATACCTCTCTTATCTGACCCTTTTCAGTGCTCGCTTGTCCGACTGTGATCTTCCTCAAGAAACGGTCATTTGTGTCAACAACTGGAAAACCAAGACAAAAAGAAAAAGTTTCATTTCCTGCAACATTTCTCATAAAATCCACGACTTTGAGCAGGAAAACTGGCTTAACATCAATGACAGAACAAACTTTATTTAAAGTGGATGCCTCAGACACACACAAAAGATTTATGTTTTTACAGCCTGAACCAGCCAGACTGTAAAAACGCTATGTCACCGCTGCATCACATCGACATTTAAGTGGAGCAAAGATTAAACATCTAACATTATGGCCATACCTACACAGTTCTCCAACCATGTGTTATAAAACTAAACCTTTCTTTAAACTAAAGTAAAAAACGATCTAAAACTAAACTGAGATTGAAAAATCAAGATTAAAATAAAAACTAAAACTACTGTACCCTTGCTTTGTGGTTGGGATGGCCAATGCCATATATCATCACCATATTATTATAAATACATCATGTTGGTTGGTATGTTGATAATATTATCAGACTGATAGAATGACAGCCCTCTGCATCGAGAAGAAAACACAAATCCTCCTGAATATTCCACAGACTAACTCCTTCTTTAGTCCTCTTTTACTCCTTCAGAGGGATTTCCTACGCTTCTGTTCGGTACCTCTCTGCCAGGTGATCTTCGAGGGGTCAAGGTCAAGATGAACAAAGGCGCCGACTTCCTGCGGTGTGAGCGATGCAGGATCTACTTTATTGATCCCTAGACGCTGGAATCAAAGAAACAAAGAAGATTAGTGGATCATCTGTGAGTGAGATGTGATGCTTAGGTGAACATTTTGGCTTTAGTCCCAGCTGTGCCACTACTGCTAGATACAGTAGTTTATTTGATATTTTAGGATCGTGTAGTAGTGGGACTTTCCGGTGTACAGTATGTCCACATCAGCTGGACACAATATCATTCCAGCATGTATAAACAAAACCAGAATAAATGACTACGAGGCGATCAACTCGGTGTCGGGTTCAAAAGGTTCACCGGAGTGCTCTGTTTAAAAAGACACACACGACTCTGATCTCGCACTCTGTCCATTAAGACCAATGAATATTTTATAGTCTCATCCAACGGGACAGACAAACATTCAGTTGGCTTATGTTCAAAATTCATCTCCATAACATGTGCCATGTGTATTTTATCTATTAAGACTTGATATTAGGCTTTCTTTATCAATACCACAACAAAACAGCATTACTTGTAGACATAGATACATATTTGGAGACGAGGACAAGGTGGAGGGAAAGAGGTGCATTTTTAAGGTAGGCTCACTGAGGTCCCCTATTGGATGAAAGTGTCTTTTTTTTTTTTTTTTAAATCAGAGCTCAACACAATGGTGCTTCTGGCGAGGAATGATTGTTGAACGTTTTAGACCTACACGTAGCCTGGAGATTTGGATGGGTGAAAATCTTCTGATTCCGTTCACTGAAGGAACCAGTCTATTGAACAGGCCCTTCAAGGAAGAAGAAGAAAGAAAATGTAATCACATTATGTGTGTTTATGCATATAAAGTACATTTAAATTGCACCTCAGAGGATTCAAATGTTTTCTTGAATAGAATGCATCACTCCAAATACACACTATGGTTGTGACTGCTAAATGTAATTGGGACATAAAAAGCATGCTCTTACATAGATTAGTTAATCGTCTCTGTGACACATGTTTAAGGCTTCCCTGTGAATATTCAATGACTTCACAAGATGTATGTACACATAATATATTAACATCATTCACAATTTCCTCTTTTAAAATCACAAAGAATAAACACATCTAAATAGCATATTTGTCATTATACTTGCATCCAGGTCAAAACAACAGTTTTTACATTTTTTTGCTTGTGTAAGAATAAGTTATTACTGAGTGACGAGATCACACGGTCACCTTGTCTGACTGCGTCGCCTCATGAAGCATCCTGGCATCGATGGCTGCTGCCACCAGGTTGTTGGCTGCTGTGATGGCATGAATGTCACCAGTCAGATGGAGGTTGAACTGACAAGAGGAAGAACAGACAGAGAAAATGTGAAAGAGAGTTGAAACCAAGAAAATCAAAGTACTATTCTTGTAATGTAACGGTAGACATTGTGGGTTCGGATGGCGCCAAGTGGAATTAAAACCTCTAACAACGGGGGTTCAAATGTAGTATCATGTGTGGTTTCAAACAGAGTAATCTTCATGGTTTTGACTTGATGTTTAAAAATATTACGACATACGAGCCCTTCAATTTAAATGAAAAAACATATTGTAAAGACGTGAGAGTAAAGGGCGGTAGAAGGAAAAAGCTAAAAAAAGCTGATGTTTTTGTATGAGAAAAGAAGAATGTGTCTGCAGCTTATTAAAAACCAGTCTGCTTCCATCTCACCCCTCCCTCCCTCCCTCCCTCCCTCCCTTTACGGACAGTGATTTAGTCATAGGCAATATTATGCCACAGCTCCAGGGGTTGTGTGCGTGTGTGAAAACTCGTGAGTCTCTGCATATCTTAGGTCTTTGAAGCCTGCATTAGTCCTGCTAGGGAGCAAGGAGAGTGCCTGTGTGTCTTACCTCCTCCATGGGGATGACCTGGGCATATCCCCCTCCTGCAGCTCCCCCTAGGCACAAAGAAGAGGTAGTCAGAGGCAGACCAACAGGACAGGGACACACAAAAGGAGGAATGCTGAGCGGTGTACTGAGTGAACTACTCCACCACCCCTGCACAAAATGTAGCAGGGTATGAAATGCTAGCCCCATGCTGACAAAGATAGCTTATCACACAATTACTTGAGACATTCCTAACTGCTGGCTTGGGCGCCTGTCTCTGGCCTTGTCCAAATTCCACTCGGTGTATTCAATGCGCAGAACAAAATTAAATTAAAAGTTGCAGAACAAAGTAACATTTTCTAAAATGAAAATACATATCCTTACAGAGTGGGACTGAGGTTGGCATCAGTTTTCTTACTAAAGTTCTAGAGAAAACTGAGTTTTTGAAGGATTGACACTACTGTACTGGAGCACAGGATATATTATGTGCAACTAGCATAAGGACTTAAGTATTCATTACTGACCTTTAACCCCAAAGGTGGGTCCCTGGGAAGGCTGTCGGAGACAGGCAAAGGAGTTGAGCTTAAGGTGGGCAGTGAGGGCCTGAACTAGGCCAATGGTCACCGTGCTTTTACCTTCGCCCAGTGGAGTCGGAGTTATACTAGACACAAAGAACATAGAGAACATTTTTGAATTTTACATTAACACCATAAAGGAAGCAGGAATTGAGTGATGGCTTGCCCAATCGGGCTTACTTCTTTTACATCATAAATCTAAGGACTAGGGGGGCACCGAAAGCAGATATGGTTAAGAAAAAGGATTTAGTTTTATCTGTAAGTCACACGTACCCAGCAACTAGTACATATTTCCCATCCGGCTGTTTGTGGAGGCGGTCCAACAGGGAGAGTCGGACCTTAGCTTTGCTCCTGCCATAGGCTTCAAGCTCCTCTGGCAGCAAACCAATCTCCGCAGCCAGCTGGTCCACTGGCTTGGGCGTCTGAGCTCTGGAAATCGCTATGTCACTAACAAATACAGAAAGCATGACAAATCATTCACATGCATTTGATTTTAAAGCGTCAAATGGACTTTGTCTCTGAGGTGCAACTTAAAGAACAATGTGGCATGAGAAAAGGATGTAGATACATTTGTAATAGCCTCACGGATAGCGGTCTATACCTTGGTACGGGGGTCAGGGGCTGCAGTTTGAGGCTGCGCAAATGCCAGGGTTGGTACTGCTGCTCCTGGAGCCACCGACCGCAACTACGCGCCACATTCTAGTAGACAAAGAGGAGAGACAACGAGGTAGGTCGGTAACGAAGAAAAGATAGTAAGCACATGGAGCGAGAATGGAGACAGAAACAAAGAGGCGCACCTGTGTTCTGTAAGCGGCTGTGAGGTATCCTAACCCAGACTTTGAGGACATCTCAATGGCATGTTCATCTAAAACAAAACAAAAAGTGTATGACAAATGCACATGTTGAGTAAAAACATGCTGACCAAAAAGTTACGCAAGAGTGGGACTGAGAAAGAAAACAGATGCTGTGTCCCATCATACGGCAGAAGGAGAAGGGTTACACTTGACATGACAAATCTGCAAATTTATTAATTTTACAATGCAGAAAAAAGCCAAATACACTTTTACTTTAACTGCAAACTACACTAGTATGTCTATGGGAACTTTTATGCACAGTGATTGCTTTTTTTATTTATTTAAAGATTCATTTTCTGGCCCTTTTTTGCCTTTAATCAACAGACAGAACAAATGGACTGTAAACGGGCCACAGGTCAGATCCATACAGGGTGATTTTGATGACTATCACAATATATTACACACTACCTGTCTCCAGGTTGGGCTCACAGCGGATGACAGCAGCCCCTGGTCTAACCCAGGTGGGGGGGAAATCCATATTCTCAGCTCCTAATAGGACCACAGCATCAGCCTGCTTCACCTTGGGAATAAGGAAGAGAGAATAAATTACATATGAAGAATTTCAAAAAGAGAAAAGTGTTTAAAAAAAGAAATTAAAAAAAAGAGACAATAGATAAAGCATTTGGCAATGCAATGACATTATGACATTGCATGTGGTAAAGCAGAGACTGCCTCCTTGTGGTTGGCCACTATAACGGCACATACTGTAGCAACTGAATAATGACTAGAGACATTTAAGGACATGGATCACAAGAAGGCTTTCCATTTATAAAGCCATGGCTTCAGCGGTACGTCTTTTCAAACAAATTATACTCAAAACAAAAGTAAAGGAACACACTCAAAACAAAGTAAAGTCAAGCTGACCACAAACAGGAACCAAACTACACACTTTTAACAGCCACCTTTCAAGTCTCCTGGGAGTAAGTTATGAACACTTACATTTATACAAAAAATCATTTTCGAGTAGTGTTGAGTCACACACGTATATACAAACACACCTGACTCTGCAGGCTCTTGGAGCTCCAACGACTCTTGAGAGCCACCAGTCCACTTCTTTCTATCAGGCACTGCAGGGCCACCCCAAAGGGTCCTTCTCCTCCGACCAGCAACACAGTTTTCCCCTCCAAAGGAGCATCTGCAGAGATATTTCAACACAACATTAAGACATAACCGTTTTCATTAATTAAGTGCCTCATGTGCATTAGCAACCAAACTGTCGACATGGTCAATATTTCAGGAATAGTCAAGCGTATTAAAATGCAGACCATCTGGACATGGATGGAAATGACTTTGCACAATGCACAGCAATTAAATGTAGCTGTTTGTGTATTCTTAATTGTGAATGTAAATGCAGCTTATGTCATTTTTTATTTCTACTAGCTGTTTGCGTTTTTAGCTTATATTTACATATTTATACAATTCATCCTTCGAAAATATAATATGAATACATTCTGAAATACATTTTTTGTGAATATTCATCTGTAATTGGATTGTGTTTTTCATGTCTGTGAAGCAAACAAAGAAAATCATAATTGGAAAAGAAGGCGTTTAACAGCTTTGTGCAACACTGCCGCTATAATTACAGATACGGTATGCTGATATTTTGAAATGTAGAACAAAAAACGTCCGCACACTGTCTTCTTCACACCGTTTCAGTAGATAGACCATCAAGTTAAAGTAACCTGATGATGAATATCTCTGAATGCAGGTGAAGACGACAGTGTGCAGGAGTTTTTGGATCTATATTGTCGACCATAAGTATTCTCCTACGCGCTTGTTGACCTACTGGTGTGCAACAGTTTGCTCTTTTTATATTTAGAAATGCACCACACCATATAATACTGAAACTGGACCACAAATTCTTCACTTGCGCCACATGTTGGCAACTATTTGCATCAGGGACACTCCGAATAAATGTGACCCTATGTACACCTGAACTCTGACCCCTACCCTGTGAACCTCAGGGTGAGTCTTAAATTGGTCCCAAACTTAGTAGTTAGTCTGAGGAGTCAGCATTTTTTCTTGTGGGTCCTAATGACAAAATATTTTGGGTGCACTGTAGTTTCAGATCCCCACATAATTCCCAAAATGTATTCTAAAAACAGTGAGACTCACTAACTGAATGTTCTCCCTGATGTTGTGACATATTTTAGTTTATGGCACATTAGGCTTCACATGATAATGAGGTCGTAGAAATGCGAACGTTAAATTACCGTCGGATTTATGAAATTTGCGCAGTGTCCAATTTTGATCTTACCGCCTTGGGTATGTTAGTGAATCAGAATCAGTCTAAATTGACAGGCGCGTGTCCACTATTTGCAATCAGCATACTGCCAAGCCCCCATTTCTCTATATAAGGAAATATTTTGATGTAAATGTGAGCACCATTACAGCTACATATATCAAATTGTATACCATGTTTCTCCAGCAGATCCAGGACAGCGCTGGCTCTGGGTGGCACAAAGCCTTTACTTAGGTCTCCTCGCACCAGGCGGCCCATATTCAAATCAGATATCCTATTACAAGAAAAAAATGGACACAAACATATCAAAAGAAATACAGAATTATTACCCCCGGAAGCAATTAACTCTTACTGGGCAGTGTGAGCACTGCATTAAGGCTATTTTGTAAAGTGCAATGAGCGTGTTACGGTCACTCAGAAGATTTCTAAATTGGATGCACATGAGGCACACATCATTCCTGAGTTAACGGTAAAGCTCAACACTGCTGAGTAACATATCAAAGTACAGTATATAGTATAGTTCTATTATTGAAGAGAGATTTAGGGTTAGGGTCAAAAACATTTTTATCAAACACTAAAAATAAACAGAGTAGCTTGCTGCAGTAAAGCAAAAGGACCGTACAGCTCAAATGTATTTGTTATTTTTACACAATTTGCTCTTAGTTCAACCAGTGCTGTTCAATTTGTGCTGATTATGAAGGGTGCCTTGCACATTTTCCTCATTCACTTACGTGCTGAAGTCACAAGCTGCATTTAGACAGTCTTGATTCTGAGCAGCCCCTTTCTAATATACTGTACCATATGAAATACACTAAATACATTTATCTCTGTTGGGACAGAGAAACACGCACAGCTGATACCTGGCAGACTGCTGCATAAAAAGGTCTACTGCTAAGGGACTACGAATGCAATATAAAAACAACCAATGGAAAATCAACAAAGTATGCTCTTCACTATTATTATCTCTCTGTGTGAGAACAGAAAACTCAGCCGTCTTATATGCTATGATCCTAGTTAGCTAGTGCTAGTGCTGTTTACCCATCTACATCCTTCTCAGGTTTCAGCGTGTTCAACACTCGACTGGTGAGGGACGCAGGGGGGAGGTGAAGGTGGACTCCGTGCACCCTGGGGTCTTCATTGAGCTTCAACACCTCTTCTATGATCTACACGCAGTCACACAAAGACAAAATACACACACAAAAAGAAAGTATTTAGAAGCCATTGGTGCAATAGTGACATTTTGCCTACAGAAAATTCTGCACTTCACATCTAAAATGTAAAGTATCTTTGATTTTTTGAGAATAAAGAACAAGTAAAAGAGTGACACAACAAGTGCACCATCAAATTGAACTTGTCTGTGCTATTGACAGTGCATAAAAATTGTTTATATGATGATTTACAGTCAAGAAAAGCTTGAATAATACAAAAACTCACAAGAGGCACTGATTACCTTGATGTTTACTACAACCACCATGCTGCACTGACAAACAGCAAGGGAATGGCAAATCATGCACTGACTTGCTAAATAATGAGGGGGCGGGGAGAGTTTTTCTTGTTTTATGCGCGGAGGGACAGTAACCAAATATGTGTGTCAGCTTCACTTACGTCATCTTCACTGCACTCCTTTGCCAGACAAATCTGTGTGATGTTTAAGCCAACCTGTGGACGAACAGGGACAAACAAAAAGAGGGTTAACTGATTGTGTGGATTTATGAAAAAAAAAGACAAAATGGTTTAAATTCACATATAGAAACAGCAAGACGGTAACTTACCCTTCCTGCAATTTTCTTACTGATCTCCAAAAAGCTGTCATCTTCACCTGCCTTTGAGATACAATTTGCATAATGAGAAAACACACACACACACACACACACACACACACACACACACACTATAACACAAGCATCTTCAATGGCTTCAGTAAAAACAGATAAACCTCAGGTTAAAGGTAAATTCAGACAAAATAATTACAACTATGCCATGGTAAGTTTGACAATATTTTAGGCAACCTTCCACAACATTGTAACTTGCACATGACATCACGCAGTCTTTCATTCTACAATAGGAAACACAAATCCTACATAGTTATTTGTTTTTTTGCTGACAATACCTGTATAATGGCTAACAAAGGTTGGACTGTTGAATTTCTTCTCTGCAGAGCCGCTATTGCCTCCTTGGTGCTCTGAATCACCTTGCTATGAGAGAAAACAAACTGGTTAGTCATCTATTTAGGTTTTTGATTCACGTGAAACACATACCTTAAGCCAAAGACACCCATGGTAAGGCTTTGGAAAAGGTAACACCAACAGAGAAGGAGACAACATTTAGAATAGTTTATTCTGTGTCTGTGAGCTAACTGGGGAGGAAGGGTGAAAAACTTAACTGTGAATTATGCCTCAAATTCTCTCCCCTGCTCAATTCAAATAAAACAACAATCGGAGGATAATTGGAAAGAGAGTGATTTGGCTACATTTGTTGCAGTTAAAAAATATCACATTCCAACTAGAACACTAGAAAATTGATTTTTTTTTTTAAAAATAGAATAAAATAAAATGTTCCACCCATTGACTAAGAGTGTTACTGCGCGTGTAATAATGTGTGGGAGGGGCTAATATGTAAATGTCTCCAGTTAACACACTGACCTCGTTTCTTTTCCAAAGTGTAAACATTGTCTCGATCAAATTCACCTCCAGCCATCTCCGATCAATCATTCAATGTGCTTCACTTTTAGATTATGGTATATAGTAACGTTATATATAAATAGAAATATAGTTTAAACATTAACAAACCGTTAACACTGTGCAAACACACAGTGATGGTGATGCTACATGTCCAATAACGTTACAGTAAAACTCTACATCAGGACCCATTCATTCATGCGTGTTTTTTTAGCTTTATTCGCTGTGAATTCAGACACATTGTATCATTGTGTGTTTTAGCAACAAAGGAGAAAAGTTACATCAGCTGGCTGGAGTCCATCTGATGATGTCGGGGACACGTGCGGAACTGACTGCTAGCTCGAGACAGGAAATAGTTACCGATGATAACTTTATCAAGATGCTACTCGATAGTTCAGTTATTTCCGGTTAAAAACACACAAATAAAACAGTAACTTAGCAGCGTAATGTTTGGTCACATGCAACATGCTTACCTCAAAGAACTGTCGCATTCAAACCCATCATCCTTTCGGGACTGTTTCCCAAAATTGACGGCTAGTTTTGGGTTCGTACCGCCGCTGCTTGTAGCGCTGGCTGCCCGGAGAATCAACCGGCTGTTGGCTAGACCCACCGATGGGCATCTCCGCGAGAAGCCGCTGACCCTGCTTCCTGGACGGGCTGGATGTATCCGAAGGCTGCCACAAGCACTACGAATCATAGACAACTTCATGGCCGTTTCCTTTTAAACTGTGGTGTCTAACCTTTTCTTTGTTGGCCTTGAAGTTGGTTAGCAAAGGATTCAACCTCCGGGGGGAACGCAAATACAGTTGAAGTGGCAACAGGGTCCTGATGGAGTTACGCTGTCTTCAGGGGCAGTCGGAAATTTGAATAACCCTTGTAATGTGATGCTACCTGTTTACAAGCTGACTTTGGGGCGCGGAAATGTGGATGCCACGTTCTCCGCGTGTAACCCAGGTGCAGCAACATTTTGATCATGTAATGATTTCATTATATATTAGCCTATATAATGTATGCATGTTTGCCTTTCCTGTCACTTCTAAAGTTCGGCTGTTGTTAAAAGACCGAAAGAATTAAAACATGTTGCCACATGTCCTGTGTTTTGTTATCCACCATGGAAAAGTGTATTCGAATTTCAGAGGTACACATGAAAGCAGCAGCCTCAGAAAAAGGAACGTTCACGTGCTATATTTACACAGAAAGAGGCGAGGTCAGTTTAGGCCACATGGGTTCAAAAACTATGTCCTGTAAATCTAGGACCACGTGAAAACGTTGATACGCTATAAGCCTATAGGGTACATAGCCTATTATAGTGACATAATAGGCAACTTCCTGCTGCAATCCAAGTCGCCTATATTAACCATAATTTGAAACGGTGCCACCCTGCATGGCCCCTGATCCAAAACCACTATATTTAATTGATGGCATACACTACCTTCGGCTAATATCTAAGCAAACGTCGGTTATTTTCAAATTTGCCTCAGTGGAACAATATTAAACAAAGTGTGACATATTTGGCAAAGAGTACAGTGCGGTAGGTCTGTCTGTGGCTGGCTGGCTGGCTAACTCTCTCTCTCTCTCTCTCTCTCTCTCTCTCTCTCATGAACGCACACACACACACACAATTAAGAGCAAGTGGGAGTAATTTGGGTGCGGCTGGGAAAACCTTAACTCCAATCCACCTCAATACGCGGGCTGCGTTATTTGACGCATTGGTATCGCTCTCATCCAAAGTCAGAAAGAAATCCTTTCATGGCGGCTGTTGTTCAAGGGACAACGTTGCTGATTGACAAGTGTCGCGTTTGAGATTCCCGTCAAAACCACTTGTCCTGGGCTTCCCTTTACATTTTATTAAAAATACCGCTTTATTAGAATAAAGAGGCCTGCGAGTTCAAATTGGCACTCACTTGGTTTATACACTGCAGCTGCTCACACACCTCGTCCTATCCAATTGACGCTCCTGAGATGCAGCGTCACTCCAAAGGACAAACCGACCGGGTTTCATTCCTGAAGTCACGGCAGCACAGTCGCATGGCGTGGCGCAATCCACCACCCTAACAAAACCACAGTTGAATACCAGTTTGGGCTCCAAAGATAGCTGCAATTACGCATAGGGCCCTTTGTTCCTGCTCACAGTCCGGAGCAGTCAACTGTAGCATGGTGCTGTGGCTCTACGGTCGCCTTACAATAAAGGACAACGTTTGATATCTGTGGACATCAGAGCACAACAGGTAAGGAGCTTTCCTTTGGGCTTGTAGGGAAGGATTCACATATATATCTGGTCTATATATATATATATATATATATATATATATATATATATATAAACTAAGCATTCATTTATCTCATAAAAACATAGCTTTTATGTTGTTTACCATACATAAAGCCCTAACTGTAGGTACCCACACCATGCCTGCATTAATTCTGATAATGTTTTAACTGTGAGACTGGGCAGTTGGATATCATCTGAATAATTAATATAAAAGTAGTGTTTTTCAGGAGTATTCAGTCCTGTAACAATAATGACTTCCAACCTGATCACCAGGAGCACTTGAGTCAATGTTTCTGAAATCTTAATGTTTTATTCATTAGATTTTAACTTGTTCAAAACTTATTTTGTTCAGACATAAATACTGTTATTCCCAGCTCAAATAGGAAAAGACTACAACAATGTCAGGTAGGAGTTCCTGAAGTTTGGGAACTTTTGGTGGAGTAGCCATTTGAAAAGCATTCTAATGTCACCAGCCTCATAATTTCAGATAGGAAATGCTTATTTTATAGTATTACTCAAACTGGAGATCCAATATTTTCCTGTATCTGCTGACTCTTGTGCTCCAGTTCGATTAAAAAGTCAAAATGCCTGTCTAGATAAAGACGTCAGACAGATCACAAGGTAAAACAACTAGTCTGGTGAGGAGCAACACGTTTGATTAGTCTTTGTAGAACCTGTTGGGCCAGTGCTGGGTGGAGGACATCTGAGGAAGGAAACAGGTATGCCGGCATAAATGAGGCACTGGGTGTGTTTTAAACTTGCAAATGTTTTCTGTTTGGATCTTGAATGTCATTTGTGTCCCTTTTTGCTTTATCGAGCCATATACGATGAAAAAAAGGTTAAATTCATGAGCTCTGAATTTAAAGATTTGTTGTTTGCCCTTTCAGGTCAGCCATCTTTTAATGAGTCACCTTTACCAATGTGTGTTAGAAGAGGACAGATAACCGGACAGAGAAAATCTTCTTGACATCTGTAGCCTTCGCTTATTCTCCAGCCCAACCATGAGGGACAGACTGAGCAACCTGCAGGAAATGTCCAACGACCATGTGGAGCAGATGGAGTATGCGGACTCCGTGGACTCCACTCTCTCCGACACCTTAAGCAACGTGGACCTGCAGGAGGAGCTGTCCCATGAGGCAGTGTTGTTCGACAACAGCCCTGCTCTGGAGGGGATCTTTTCCCAGTCACAGGATATCCACAGAGAGATCCAGCTCATCCGCCTGGAGATCAAAAGGCTTCGTGAGCAGAACTCTCGCATGGTCCAGGGCGTCACCACCATGAGCATTATCAAAAGGGACTCCAACGCTATTGGTGCTGATATAAAGGCTCGGGCTGAGGATGTGCTGGCACGCCTGCGGGATATGGACGGCACAGCTCGCAAGCTAGAAGAAGAACACAGCTCAAATTCTGCCATCACGCGCATTGCCAGAACCCAGTATGCTTGCCTCAGCAACGGTTTCCGCGATGCCATGTTTGAGTATAATGAGGCCGAGATGAGTCATCGGGAGAACTGTAAAGCCCAGATCCAGAGGCAAATGGAGGTAGTGGGACGTGAGGTGACAGGAGAGGAAGTGGAGGAGATGATTGAGAAAGGTCAGTGGAACATCTTTAATGACAACATTATGGCTGAAGGTAAAACCGCTCGCTCAGCTCTGTGCCAGGTTGAGAAACGTCACCAAGAGTTGGTGGACCTGGAGACCCGCATCAATGGCATCCATGAGATCTTCCTGGACGTCGCCCTGCTGGTAGAGGAGCAGGGCCCCATGCTGACCACCATCCAAACCAACGTTCAGAAAACCGACGAGTGCATACAGGAGTCCCTCGTCAAAATCGCCAGGGCCAAACGTCATAACAAGAACAACCCCTTTAGAAAGATGTTTTGCAGCTGTTTCCCTTGTGTCGACTGATGACTGTACGGCACCGAGATGGTAGAGGGACAGACAAATATGCAATGTGCTGTCCAGACAAAGATCAGGGGGAAATCTAAAGGACAATAAGCATTTTCTGTATCATTAAAATAACTTCTTATTGTCACAAAGTCTTTGTCAACATGGCCTGTAGAGGTATTGTGTAATATCTTTCCAGGAAGTGAAATAAAGGTTTTCATAGACAGGTTAAAACTGTGTCTAGATTGAGAGACAAGGGTAAAGTATTTTAAAATTGTATAAAAGTGATCCATTGATGACCGGTGTCGCAAATCAGAATTCATCCCCCATGAGGTGTCATGCGACTGGTATCTGAAAATATTTTTTAAGTTTTTGTAGCCTGATGATTTTTTTTTTTTTTATAAAATTGCAGATAAATTCATAGAGAAGCCATTCACATTCTGAAAACCCCCCCACCGTTTTCTAATGTTTACCGTCTCATAGGACACCAGAAGCGGATGTGTTGTACCCTAATCTGTTACTTTTCACTGCTATTTTATGACTATATTACCTTTCTTTTATGGTGTCATGTATATTACATAAACGGTTATATTAGAATCAATCCGAGTGTGGCTTTATTCTTGTTAAACATGAAATGAACCTATGAAGACCTGTTGAAATATAAAGATTAAGGTTGCATTTGGTATACATAAACACATTTCCTTAATTCAAGTTGTCAATCACAGGGGGCAGTGCTAAAAATGTTGCGTTGCAACAGCTCAATCACGCGTGTGACATATTTAATACCTGTAATCCCTGGCATGTTTCAGGTTCACCTCAGACACACGCATCTCCTTACACAGGTGTCATCACTTACCAAACAGAGCAGCTCGTGTTGCATTAGTCCAGTGTAGTGCTGTTAAATAGTTAAAGGGAAAGTTCACCCCAAAATCAAAAATACATGTTTTTCATAATACAAGTAGTGCTGTATGTTGTTCTGGCGTGTGTTGTTTTGGAGATACTGTCAGTAGAGATGTCTTCCTTCTCTCCAATATAATGGGACTACATGGCACTCAGCTTGTGGTGCTCAAAACGCCAAAAATAAAAACTTAACAGTAATCTCTTTCCAGAAATCAGGATCAGGTTACTCACTATAATCCACACACCTTGTGAGCAGTTTCATTAAGGAGTTTTTTTTTAAAGTCTAATTCCTCAAATTTCTTCAGTAACTTCCTTGTGAACATTTGTCCTGGATGCATCATTTGACAGGAATATTTTCTTACTTAATCAACCCTGAAGTGATGAGAAAATTAACCAAAAACAAAGCGTCTTTTTTTTTTTTTCTTAAAGGAAGTATGGTGTGTTGCAGTGGGAAGGCCCTCTTCTGTCACCTGGGAAGGGGCGGCAGTCACACACATGCTGAATATGAAGCAGACGGACAACTTCCTTCATCAGCATAAATAAGATGTGTTTTCCAAGCGCCTTGGACCAAATAAATCAGCCTGAAACACTTTGAAGAGATTTTCTTGCTTTCTGATTTTGTGGGAGCCGGTCACAAGAGGTAAGGCACTTTAAAAGTGAATTTTATTTATTTAATGTTCTAAATGTGGAGCAGAGGCACCTGGAGACAAGTGGATAATTGGATCTAATCAGTGCAGAAAGAAAGGGCTGATTCAATGACTATCAAGAAGATGAATTGTTTTATCATATATTGTGACCGCTTTTGAAATAATTGATTTTGTACTAATGTGGTATCAGGAAATGGCTTTTCTGTGTTCCGACTTAAACTGTATGAAATAATCCATCTCAGAGATTTATGCAAGTACCAGAATTTTGAACATTTTGTGCAGTGTGTGATTGACTAAATTAATGTACTGAAGAAATACTTAAACATGTATAGCGCGACAGTATCTTTGGCCTTAACCCTACTTTTAAAGGAAATGTCTGTTTTTCAATAAGATAACGTCTTCCTTGTTCCTGGTTTGAAAAAAAAAAATTCTTTGAGCTTTGACTGTCATTGTTGTTAACCACAGAAAGAACCTACATCAGATAAACTGACCAGTTATTGTTGCTGTAGTTGTATAACTCTGACATGTTGGCTTTGGATGGGTGGTATGGTTTCCCTGCATGAACTATGACTCTGTACATGCTGTCGTCAAGGTACTCAATGTTTTAAAAAGGGGAACATTGTATGCCATCAATTTGAGGATGATTATACCATAATGAGGGTGCCTACAGCCCAACATGTAGAACGCATGTGATATTAATTTTGCATTATGAATTTGATCTATTTGCACGATAATCAACATCTTGTTTTGCTCTGGTCTCTCAGGCAAAAATGCGGGACATGCTGGAGAGGCTGCAGACCATTAGTGAGGAGCAGGAGGACGACGAGCCAGAGTTTTATTGCTCAGAGTATGATGTAGACAAGGGGACTCTGTCTCAACAGGCAGTAATGTTTGAGAACACCTCCACCATTGACAACATCCTGAGGGAGGCCTACTCCATACGCAAGGAGATCTCCTTGCTCCACTTAAAGGTGGAGCGTCTGAAGATAAATAACGAACGCTTTGGCACCTCTGTGCGGCGTCTCACCCTACTCAAACGGGACTCCGACTCGATTGCCAGGGGGATCCAGCATCACGGCGGGGCTCTGTACGTCCGCCTTCAGGCCCTGGGGAAGGAGAGCAGCCAGCTAGAGGAAAAAGACGGTCCCAACTCCGCTGTTGGTCGCATTGCCCGATCTCAGTATGACACACTATCCCGTTACTTCCAAGCTGCCATGAGTGACTACAATGTGGCAGAGGAGATGCAGAGGAGCACATGCAGGCGGAGGATCCAGAGGCAGGCCTCCATAATAGGGACTGAAATTACAGATGACCAGCTGGACGTGATGGTGGACAAAGGTGGTGAGGGATGGGCAGAGCTGTCCCAGAGCCTACAGACCCAAGGTGTACGCTCGTCCCGCTGGGCGATGTGCGAGATCAAAGGCAGACACAAGGAGCTGGTGGAGCTGGAGGTCCGCCTGAAGGAGGTCCATGAACTGTTCCTGGACATGGCCGTGTTGGTGGAGGAGCAGGGATCCATGGTTAACAACATCGAGGTGAATGTGTGTGGCACACAGGAATATACTGAGAAAATCAATGTTAACATCAAGAGGGCCCTGCAGTACAAGAGGAGGAATCCTTTTCAACAATGTTGTCCCTGCCTACCCTGTTGGAGAGACAGCCGACTAATTTAGTGCTAGTTTTAAATGTATGCAATTTTATGGATGATTGAAAAATTAAATAAACATTTACCTGTGTAAAAAGTTATTATAACCTGAAAAGAGATGTTAGACAATGTGTTTAATTCATGATAAACTGAGGCTTCACGAGGACAAAATGCAAGAGAAACGGTTTTGCTGTTAAAGAGCAGCACACTGTATTTCCCTAATTGTGGTGTGAGGCTAAAAATTGTTCACGGTTTGGAGTTACAAGCTGTCTAAAATGTAATCTACACTTAAATAACTTGTTATTTGTGTCAGAGTATTATTTGTTAACAAGTACATATTGTGTTAAAATCAAAAGAAACTTAAGTTTTTGGCCCTCTAATGTGGCTTACTTCCTTAAAAGTTTAGGTGACGCTTTCTCAATCTTGTGCGACCGTGACAAAGTTAGATGGTGATCTCAGATGCAACTATATGTACGGTCTGTGGGCTTTAACTGGTAGGCCTCTAGTGCCACTTTTGGGAAAGTGGGGGGGGGGGGTCATCCTAATGGTTGATGACACCATCTGATGTAGGAGGTGGATGCTAATAGGATGCAGTCTGTACTTAAAGGAAGATGGAGTCCACAAGCAGTCTATCAGATGAGATATCCATAGTGCAGATTAGTGGCACAGCTTTACTGACTGATGGGAATGATGGTCTGGAAGCTCACAGCAGTGGTCTTTGTATAGTGCAGCTGATAAAGCTACCAAATGCACATGCTACTCCCAAACTTAAGCTGCAAAACTATCTGAATCATGTAAAGTGATCTGAAAGACACACAAATAAAAACAGTGATGGTTAAGAACTTAAGAGTTTCAAGTACATCTGTTATTGAGGGAAAAATGAATTGTATAAAATTGTTATTCAGATTTTACATTTTTGATGCTACCTATATTTCTCCTTTGTTTACAGGTGTACCGATTGACTGGAAAACATCCTAACTTAGCCTACTAGTTCACATACATTCTTGCTTCACTGGTTGTGATATTCATGATATTGGAAACCACAAACAATATCTAACTTAACGAGCTAACGTTATAGGGACATTTCATGAACCAAACATTCTAAAGTTAGCCCAACTAGCTGAGGTTAGCTAGCGTTATATCTTCAAAATTGCAGAGATAAGAAGACAAAATTTCACGCCTCTCTAAAATGAGCTGTGTGGCGCTTTAGTGCACATCCTGGTTGTTGCCCAAATTATGCTAGGCTCCCTAGCTGCTCTTGAATGCTTGTAGCTTGCTAGTTGTCAACGAGCGTGACATTAGCAGGTTCGCTCCAGTTTTCCACCTTACACGTTAGCTGCTAGCAACCTAGCTCTACCCAAGACGAGACATTGTCGATGTTGGATTATCGTAACAATGGTTGCATTGCCAGCTCCGTAGGCATTTTAAACTAAAATACAATCAAAATACAAGCCAGTTGAAATATATTTAAAGGGTCCGTACGCGGTGTATATACCAGGATGGCCGAGTGGTTAAGGCGTTGGACTTAAGATCCAATGGACATATGTCCGCGTGGGTTCGAACCCCACTCCTGGTATATGTTTTTGGTGATGTCTCTTACAGCAGATTGACATTCTCAATATATGCAGAGTGTCCGATGCCGCACCCTAAGTGGCTTAATAAAACAGTACACACCTAGAACAGTTAAGGAGGCGGGTATGGAATCCCTGTATGGAATTCATGGAATGTCTAGTCAGAGACAATTGCAGTTAAGACATGAAATAGTAAGGATGTTACTATGCTTAAATAGTGGTAACGTGACAAAAGTGAAAACATTAATGAAAAGACTGCTCCTCTGTTGTGATATTGTAATTATTCATTCTCTACTGTGATCAATGAAGGCGCTTTAACTGCCCTTTAACACTTTCCCGTTTTTCTTACTAGTCTACTTTCATTTAAGCTATTGCAAATCGTTTCGTCTCTACTGTTATTAGTCAAGATTGGCAGGAAAGTAGTACTGATGGTACAATAATCACAAGCAAAACAATACAAGCCCACCTCCTGCTGGTTTGTACAGGTAAAGTATCCATACGTTAGGCATATTTGGTAAATATGTCTGTGTGATGATACCAAATTAATTTCAACTAAGTTGAACGTGTTCATACATTTATGAATATCTGTCGTTTCATGCTGTATTTGTTTAGTAAAGTCCTCCAGGTGAATGTGGCCTTTAGGAGTAGTTGCACCTCTGGGGCAGAAGAGGGCACTCTAACCCTGTCTTGTAGTCTCTGGGCCGGAGTCCAAACGTTGGCTCATTTGAAGGCCTACACACACTCTAACCCCTATAATTTTACAGCAAGGGCGATGCCTTGGGCTCATGGAAACCCAGTCATCTGCATCTGCCACGGGAAAAGCTTCACAAATAGAAATAGCTGTAACTCTTTTAAAAGTCGTGTTCAAAAGTTTGTTGCACTGTAGTCACATCCAAGAGGTGTGGATGGAAAATAAGCCTTTTGAAACTTTCTCCGCCCAATGAAATTCTATACAGGTCTTTTGCAATGCAGTGCTCACAAACAATGAATGTAAACATGTTTTAGATGTGTAGCAGTCCTGTGACAAATTGTGGTAGATGTGCCATAAGGCAGTTTCCTTCAGAGTACTTCAGATTTCCTTATTTCACTCAATAATCTATTTCAACACGTCAGTGAACCACAGGTCCCCTGTCTCCCTCCATACTCACCACTCAATTTATATGCTGTCACTTGATAGGTGTTCCAGGCCTAAGAGAGCACTAATTTGTGAACTTGAGCTCTTTCTTTGAGCTGTGTGAGGAAGCATCCACAAAAGAGCCCCGACAACTGAGAAGAGGGAGGGGGAAGGATGAGGGCTTACAATGGATGATCAACATCTCTGCATCCCCAAAGCCTCAGAGACTCTTTCTAATGGGCCTTACTCTATTGTTCAGGCCCCTCTTGTTGCTTTTCAAGCCAACACATCACTCAATACAATAAAGTGAAACCTGAGATAAGAGGAGGTGAAAGGGTTTAATGATAATATCTGTTGCTATTATTATCATTATGGTAATCAATACTGCTACTGTTATTTTCTGTTATTTTAAGTAGTTGCTCCCCTCTGCGTTAAGTCACATTTTAACTGTCAAGTGGTCTGCTCTTTTTTGTTTTTGTTTGCATGTCATGTATGAAAGGTGCTATATAAATAAAGTGTATTGTTGTTGAGTGAAATGTTTTATGTTTTGAATAGCGTAACTCTAAAATAATGGAAATTAAATGGAGTGGATATTTAAGGAAGACATTTTTTTGTGTGATATGAACATTTGTGTTACAGCATTACCTTTACACTTGTTTTCAGAGTACCAAAAGGGAAGTGTATTGACTGAAACTAGAATACATGCAGAACTATACCATACACCTTTGGACATAATTGTACTTATTTCTTGCCACCTACTTCATCACCGTTTAGAGGGAAATATTGTACTTTTACATTTATCAAATCATACAAGTTATAGATTAAAGTAGCTGACCCAACAGTGGAGAAGGTAGTTCAAATTAACATAAACATGACCTGTTAATATATCAATAATTATATTTCAATAAAGTATTATATAATGAAATGCTGAAGTACATTTTTGATGCTTTAACTACGTTTTACTGACAATATTGCTGTACTTTTCCTTAAAGGAACAGTGTCTAGTATTAGGAGGATCTATTGGCTGAAATTTAATATAATATGAATATGTTTTCAAAGTGTATAATCACCTGAAATGAATAATCGTTGTGTTGTTGTATTCCATTTCTGCTAATAGATTCTCCTAAACACTGCCTTTAATAAGCTTTTGAATGTAGGACTTTTTCTTGTAATATCGCTTTTTGTACTGTGATATTACTACTTCTACCTTAGCAAAAGAACAGCATTTTCTAAATAGACTTACTTTCACCAATGCAATAGTGTAGTGAATAAATATAATTTGCCATATTGCAATTTATCAAATATCTTGGATCAAATGGCTTTGTGTAAATAGTAAATTTAAGAAAGCTGTGGTGCCTTTACGTGGAAAGGTTTTAAAGACCCGGGGCCTAATAAACATTCCAGTTATTATTCCACCGTGAAAGTTTCTTGTAAAGTGTTGTGTTTCCCAGTGGGAATCACTCGTTTCGTTGATGTTACGTCACGTGACGCCCACCGCGCCATGTTTCCATCTCCGCGTCAGGAAAACTTTTACAGCCAGAGGGGAAAAACTCGAGATGAGCGTGAAGCCACCCAGAGTGAACACTGTGGTTCCGGTTGAAACCTTCACAATAAATGTAGTTGACGCAACATTAATGGAGTGTCCTTAAGTGAGGATTAACGAGAGTGAAACTGACATATGTAGCAAATGTAATCATTACTTAAGTTGTTACAGTCAAAATATATGTCATGTAAAGTATTTAACATTCTATACATGGGGTGGCAAGGGTACCTGTTTATGATGGAAGCTGCAATGGGAACTTATCGTTACATTACCAAGATTAAAAAGTAAAAAGCAACTGCACAATTGTATCCCTGAAGACAACAGGAATGCCAATTGGAATGACTTCCAAGTGATTGTCATGGTGGAGCCTTTTACTTTGAAGAACCTGCTCCATTATTTCCGGTTTGATTAGCTAACTCTCTCGAGCTTGACACCGCTGTAAGCAGCAGGGAGAAAGAGTCAAGTAAGCAACAGGAACAAAGTTGTGGGACCCGAGTCCCGCAATACCGCGGTGTTCACCCTTGAAATGCAATAACCATCTTCCCGTTCCCCACACACAGCCTGCCGTGTGTTTTAAAGACTACCGTAGTTGTGCTTTGCTTTGCGTTGCAAAAAAGGCGTGTTTTTTTCGCCACATTGTGGAGACTGGATGCGCTGGAGGACGGGATCCTTTTAGTCAGCTAATGCAGTTAAAGAAGACGAGTGCCTCGCATCGAGTAGAAAATGCCTTAGATTAATGGATCTAATGTAACGTTAGAAAAAAAACTTTTTATTTTTTAACTTTTCCAATACATTTTACGTCATCGGTCTATCCGTACTCGACACGCTTCGGACTTATTTTGAGGGCGCACGTCTTCTGACTCCTGACAGCGGAGGTGAGTGTTTGATTTGGATCCATGATGTGCCTCGATACATTGTATCAACGGAATACGAAGCTTATTGAGAAGTTAGAAGTCAGACTTTGGGTGTTTTAAAAAGTTAAAACGTTGGAATAAGACGCCAAACAGCCACTGTTCCTACTAATCATGAGGTCTTGTACTGAGGTAGCTCTTAGTGTACATTGCAACATGATGACAAGTCAGTAAACTCTAAATACCTCCGAGATAAAACATTAACTACGATTGGTTTACAGTTTAAAAGTCCCCTTTATGTGTTGTGTAGCTGTATCATTGTGAGTTTATTTTTGATAATCTCCTCAGATTACTACAACACAGGAGCACTTTAAATGTATTGATCTCAAGCCAAAGCATTGCCACTGCTCTTGTTCAAATAAAGCAGTCTAGAAAAGACTGAACTACACCTGTGGAAGTTTACAGCTTCAATGATTTCTGATTAAACTGGCTGATTGTACCCGTCAGTGGTTTCTGTTGTCAAAACTACTTCACTCCCACTGAGAGGAACCGGGATTGTAAAGCCACCACCAGCACAGATAGAGGGGACTGTCTTTTTCCTCCAGTTTACAGTTGTTATTTTTGGGGGTCTTGCATCATCTCTCAACAACTGTAACCCACCAAGCACTCCTCCTTAAAACTGCGCATGCACTCCTTTCATGGTAAAAGCAAGCTATTTTGGGAGTGGACATGGTTGAGTTTTTTTTGTTTTTTTTTTCAATGAAAGGACACCTTAAATGAAAACAGACCACATGAAGCATGAACCCGACACTAAAAAGCAGGTGCTGAAAAAAAATGACCTGTGCAACTGCAGCACCAGCTGATCTATTCACGAGGTCAAAGTGAACTTTGGAAATTATGGCATTTCATTTTTGGAGCTAATGGAAGTTGAGCAAACATCCCATGATAAAAGAAAACACACAGTGCCATTTGCAAATATCAGCACATGAGTAGATGTTGAGTGTAATATAATATTAATATAAGATTAATCCTCTCGAGGAAACTCCCATCACTTGATCTCATTACTTCTTGCAAGGATTCATCGTCCAGGGTTGCATGATGACAAACCTTACCCATTAACCATCCTACATAATATCAATAGATACCTCTAAAATCATTGTCAGGGTCTTACATTAACTAATTAGCTCGTGACTACTTGCGTTAGATTTGTCAATACTTTGACGGTGTGAAGGTTTGTGGGGACCAACCAAAGGAAAATCAGCCCACTCAACACATCTCTACGGTGGCTTAATTTCACCTTTATTTAATGCTTTGGGGGTGTTTCAAACACTGAGATTATTGGCTAGTATTTTACGAGCCTCTACAGAAGCCTACACTATAATTTTCCATTATTACAGCATCAATTACTAATGGGATTTGTCTTACACATAAATCAAGGCCCATATTTCCAGCGAAGGCCATGAAACCGGCTTGTTTCTACTCCAGGATTGTTGAGCGGACATGGAGGTGAAGTCCCAAAACAGCTGTTAGTGTTTTGATGACCTGCGTCAGATATTCCTGCGTGCTATGTGCTACCGTGTTTGAATGTTTTTGTGTGTGAAGCTCAAAAGCATGTGACCCCCCTCCTCCTCCACTCTCCCTGGCCCTCCTTTATTGAGATAATTTTCTCTGCTTAAAACCACATTAAAGCAGAAAGGAGCTCACGTTTTTATTCTTACTTACAGGTGCAGAACGAGGGCTGTTGCATTGTGCGTCGAGACGCCTGGAACTGTATCGCACGATTTTGAAACGATAAAGTGTTGAATCTATTGGCTACCATGGCATCGCACGGTGACATCGCAGCGGGAGGAGCCAACGAAGAGTTCAACGACATCATCAAGTGGAGATCTGGTATGTTTCTGAGATTGTTTAATGTCTGACGCTCCATATTGGACACACCGCTTGCAGAGTGTGTACGCGTGTGTGCCAAACCGAAAAGCTGTCAGATCATTTGGTGGTCCTTAAAAAGACATGTCTTCTTATGCGTACATTGGGAGAACTATTTTAGTCGTACGTGCATAAGAGCAGTCGCTGAAAGGAAACACTGACGGAGCCAGAAGTCCTGTTGTGCACGGTTAACCTCAGTTCCCATGGAGGCGAAGGGAAAAGGGGACAGAAGGAAAGCAGAGCAACAGCGCCACGGAGAGAACAGGAGACAGTCGGTTGTAACACGTTTGCATGGAGAAGGAGAAAGTCACAGGCAAGGTGACCAATGACAGCGGAGAAGACAAAGAATGCAGGGCTGGGTCTAAAGAGCCGCGCCCCGTGATCCCTTTCTCTGTGGATCATTCCATTCCGTGGGTTAATCTTTTGTAGCGACACACAAACAAACAAGCTGTTGCTCTGGCAGAGGCAGTGCTTCAGTTGAGCAAACTGTCAACATTCAGGACTGGCACATTGTTATTTAGTATGTTGAACCTGATATTGTGTGTCCATCTCTGCTCAAAGGTGGGATTTCTCGCTGGCTTTTGGAATAGGCTTTAACTTGAAGTGACTTTGTGTACATGAGCTGTACTTTTGCCTAAAAACTTAACACAACTAAGCATGCAACACTGCTGTCCGGGGATGGTTACCCTTTAACGAAGTCTCGTAGGTAAATTGAAATTATAGCTTCAATCAACTTGAAGCAGTAAATCGCTGGTATGTTACTTCCATTGGTTTGATAATGTTACCTGCAATGTGCAGCTGGAATCAATCATATAAATGCTTATGTTGGCATCAAAAAGTGGTGGTCCGCCATGTGCTTTAATTCAAATATGCTGGACGTCCTTCCCCACTCCCCATCCTCGCTGCTCGTCTCTCTTTACTGTAAACTGTGAAAGAGAAAAAGTAATAATAAGAAAAGCTGGTAGGTTTATCCGTCCGTGTGCCAGCTTTCCACACCCGTGCAGCCCCAGAAGGCCCGGCAGATTCCGTGCCGGCAGGAGTTTGTAATTTACAACGCTCGTATCCAGACCACAATGCTTTTTCTTACAGAGATTCCGGTTTCCCTAGCAACCCCAAAAGTAATGTTTTCTTTTTCTGGCAAAGCGCGTAGCTTAGCTGCTCACTAAAACGACCCACAGAGAAATTGCAGGGCACGCTTGTGTGTCGAAGGCCTTTTGCCTAATTGTTTCTGGCCTTTTTCGGAAATATGGCTGAAATGAGGTGTTCTGTTCTTTAAGTCAGAGGCTGTGTGAACTCTGCAAATCCACGTCAAACCAGGGAAAACAGCTGCACACCTCACGATGAGAATATTAGGAAAAAGGTTATCTTTCAGAGGCCGGTTGTTCTAATTGATCCTGTGAAAGCCTAACAAACATGGGTTTGTCTGCTGCGATGGAAGAAGTCGAGACAGGAAGATAGATGGTGAGAAAGAGAGATTTGTAGCATACGTGGGGCTGAAACATGGGCTTTGAGAGGTGATTGACAAGCAGGTGTGTGTGTGTGTGTGTGTGGGCAGGTGGGCAGATGTTTTCACAGCTGAGACGAGCCTTGTTAGAATATCATTAGCCCACGTGTTCATCTGATCTCGCCGTGGGGGCGTGTCTGAGCGGTTGAAGACTTTAATGAAGGAGTGTATGCTCAAACAGCATGCGCGCTCTCGCACCTCTCTTTCATCATTATTGCTGACTGTGAGAAAATGAACACCGGTCATCCTGATCATGTGGGGAGAGTAAACAGAAGTTTTAATTTTGAACCTTTGTTTCAGTTATTTCAGCTGCTGTGTGCTCCATATGTGTACTACAGTGAGATCACCACAAACGTGTGTGTGTGTGTGTGTGTGTGTGTGTGTGTGTGT